GCAGCCAACACACCTGCAAAAGATTTAAAATAAATTCACTTTTCTAAAATGACATCTTGAGTGCCAAAATTGACCTGTACTACAGACAATTGGATAGGTATTCATTCTGAGGCATTCAGAGAAGGATTTTTAACTTATTTTTTATCTTTTGTGAGCAATTTCAAAAGAAACCACATTGGGTTGAACAATACGAAATAAGGCAAAAATGTACTTGGAAAAGGTTGTCAAAATACTGATATATATGTAAGATCTAACAAATTAGAGGGTAGGGACAAAGATTCAATGTCCTGAGATGACAGCATTTCAAATATTACAAGATTAATTCATAAAGACCTTTTAGATAGATAACCACTTAAATATATTTTCAGTACCATTTAATGTACTGTGCATAAAGACTCAAAGATAACTTGACACCGCTAATATTCTCTCTTGTTCTGTGAAAGACACAAAATAATTTCCTACTCCAAAGGTAGTAAAAATTCACAATTATTGTAGAAAATCAAGCAAATCTAGTAAGTTTCAAAGGATTTTAATGTCCTTCCACTCTATGTGACGGTGATCAGACTACGTTAAGCAGAGAATTTGAGACTGATTTATCTATAGGAAAACTTAAAACACAAAGTACTTTTTTAGTTAAATTTCAGGTAATTCTCACCTTGTCAACATTATCTGGAAAGTGTCATACCCAGCTATGAAGGATGTCAGTTTTGTCAAGCTCTGCTTTCCTGAGCCGCCAACTCCAACTAAGAGAGCATGTCCACGAGGAGTGCGAATCACACGAGAAATCTGTGTGATATACCAGTCATTTATTGCTACAACGTGTAAGAGTCACACATCCAAAAATTCTATGCTACCCCATTAATAAAGTTATATTAGAAATTAGGAACAAATGAAAATTTTAAGGTTTGATTAAGGGATTCTATATTACTATGAATATATTCTGTAAACATTTGTACTTTGCAATATTTACTGTTGACCTGTCAAACATTATAGCAACCATTTGATTCCATCATTGTGTATGTTCAGTTATAAGTAGAATTACATGTCCCACAAAGTACAAGTAAATCTCAACTGTGATTTCTTGGTAATGTGCTATCACAGCATGAGGAATTATCAAAATTGGGAAGGAAATAATAATTTCCCCAATTCAGAGAGAAAAAGAAAAAAATCAGCATCAACTGTGAACTGTATACAGCACTTGTCCTACTGCCCACAGCCAAAAAAAAAATGCCATGAAACATGACAGCCCCTCAGTTGCAAGTGGACAGACCTTCATTGTACCCTGAAGAGCCTACACTAACATCAGAGCAGCACAGAGTCAATTCCCTCTCAAAGACACAATAATACCAGCCAGTTGGTTAGCAGCTGGTCTCCTCCATACAATTAATGATGCATAGGATTGGCTTCCATTCTCTTTATTATCTTGAACAGTTCTTTAATGACTCCAGAATTCCATCATATCAATAAACAACTCTGGACATTTATTTACTTGCCCTTCCTCTAAGTGACTTCTTTCTAAGCTATTAAAAATAGTCATGTCAATTTCCTCTAATTTTAAACCTATTTATTTTACATATTGAATGTAATGTATTTATTATTTTCCATAGGTTAATGTTTCATAAGAAAGATAAAATCAATTATGAAGGTTTACTCTAAGGTGTATAATTTAACCAGAGAAAGAAAACTTAATTTGCACAACACCCTTGCAATATCACTGAACATTTCAATAGTGGCTATTAGATTTGTTCCAGGCAGAGGCTCACAAGCTGTTAATTGGAAACTTTGTCCTCTATTTAAGATATCACTCAGCTTTAACTCATTCAAGTCATATTACATCAGCTCAGATTAGGCATTACTTCAACTCTTCCTATCTCACTTTCTCTTTGAAGCTGTCTCAGGTCTACACAGTTGTTCCTGGTTTCAAGAACTTAGAATCATAGAAACACTTTTTATCCAAGCAAAGCATTCTGCATAAAGCATAAAATTATCATTTTATCCAAGCAAATACTAATAAAATATTTCAGGAATTTACCATCTAGCTACCCCAAGAAGATATTCCTGATGACAGGTTCAGTGGAAAAAAAAATATTACATCCAAAACTTATATAGTTTTTCCTGGAAATAAATAAGAAACTTATTGGGAAGTGTGATGATTATTTATAATTCTCCTAAAGAAATCCAGAGCAGAACATCATTAATTTTGCAGTGAACTTAGAAAGAAAGAGACTAATTTTGTGAAATAACAAGAATTAATAATATAACCCAAAATTTTTGAAAACTGCAGATGTGATGTATTTTTCAATTATAATTAAATTTAAATTGTTTTGATATTCAATATTGTATTTGTGAGGATGATGCAATTACATATTTAGTTCTTCATCATTTTTAAAATAAAAAAAACCTCGGTATTCAACTTAGACAATAGGGGTTCTAGTGTTTAAGAAAAAAAGGCTCTCCTTTGTATGAGGCTTATTCTGTATGAACAATCATATCAAACTCTGCTGTTCTCAATGTTATGATCAGCTTCAATCCATATTCAAAAGAACTTTAAAACGAGTGAGCATACTGTGGACCTACAAAAGAATTTTGGACTGCATTAATTTGTACTCTGCTGTGTGTACTCCTGCAGAAGCAACCAATTATGTCTTAACCGGAATTTGATTTGACTCATTCCAAAGACAGGAAGTGTTCCCAGAAGAATTAAGAAGAAGGAAGGTGGAAATAGAAATTAGAATTAGAATAGCTAGCACCATGATATCACCAAGCACAAAAGACAGGTATAAAAGAATAGTTCCATGTGGTGCATTTTCTGAAAAGTTTTTAATAGATTTTAATATCTAGTCAAAGTATGACAGATCAAATATTTGATAGCAATAAATTAGTTGCTGCAGTTTCAGAAGTAATTTACCTTGATTCATGCATACCTCTACTCAAAGGAGATGTAGGCAAGTGAACAACAACAAATGGCAATCCAGCAAGACTGTACCTTGACTAAATGAACCATAGCATCCTCAAAGAAAACCATGTCCATTCTAGTATCGCAAACATTCTCATTGTATGTTTCTAAAAAATTATTTAAACGATTCCGTAGCTGATGAAATGAGGAGATTGGTTCATAGACTTTGGGAATATCTAAATTATCTTCCTCTGGTTTCTCATCTACAACAAAAAGCAAGCAATAAAACCTTAGCAGTTTAAATAATTGACAAAGGTTCAATGAGGGGGTAAGTAAGTGAAGATAACTAGAAGTTTCTCCACCCAGAAACAGATTTATTATACATAATATTATATGTTAGATGTACATATGAGAGTGCTGAGTACACTCTGCCTGTAAGATATGGTAATTTCAGCAACACAATTTTTAAAGACAAAATGAGAAAAAAAAATTATTTGCCTTCTTTCTTTTTATCTGAAACTTGAATGATGAAAAATGATACTTGTTTAAGTGCTAGGGAAAAAAGTAGAACTAGAGAATGAAGGTAAATAAATACTGCATTTAAAAATTGCAAATAATTTTTCTGTAAAAGAAAAACAGTCAAAATTGATTAAATAATTGCACTAGAAAAAACATACTCTTGAAATTACTAACTGCCACAACAAAAAAATATATTCACTGTGAATTAGCATACACTTGTTTCCTTAGGTGATATGAAAGGCACAAGTCAACTCTCAAAGAAAGGAGGTAACAGTGCTGCTGCCTCATTCATAGCCTTAATCATGCTGGAAGGTGACATGCCCTCATTAATAATTCTTACAGCAAATAAAATTACAGAAAAGTTGAGATTGGCAGGGAACTCTGAGGGTCATTTTGTCCAACCCCGTGCTCAAGATGGGCCTTGAACCACCTAGAGCTGGTTCCCAAAGACCATGCTCACGAGTCTTATGAATACCTCCAAAGACAGATTCCACAACATTTCTAGACAAACTGCACCAGACTGCCACAGTAAAAAAAAAAAAAAAAAAGAAAAGTGATTACTGATGTTCACATTCTTAGACAGATTTTATCCACTATATCTATGTCTTTCTTGTATTGGGGAGCCCAGACTCAGACACAACACTCCAAGTGCTGAAAAAGGGAAAGGACCACCTCCCTTGGCCTGCTGGCTATATTTCTTCTAATGCAGCTCAAGATGTCACTAATTTTTTCTTCCTGCAAGGGTACTCTACTGGCTCACGTTCAGACTGGTGTCAACCAGCACCTCCAGGTCCATTTCTCCAAAGCTGACTTGCAGATGGATGACCACCAGTGTATACTGGTGTGTGGGACCTTTCCTCCCCAGGTCCAGGACTTTTCTCTTCCCCTTGTTGAACCTTATGGAGTTCCAGTTAAGGTCCATCTGGGAGCCAGCACAACCTCTGGCATATCAACCACTCCTCCTGGTTTTGTTTCATCTGGGAACTGGCTTGAGGGTGCATTCTGCCCCATCACCCAGACTACTAATGACAATGTTGAGGATAACTGGACTCTGTGCTGACCCCTGGGATACATCATTAGTTACTGGTCTCCAATTAAACTTTGAACCTGATCAACACTGTCTGGGCTTGACTATTCAGCAATTTTCAATCCATTTCACTTCTCATCCAGAACATATGTCATTAATAAATGACTGACAAAACTCATTGAAACAGTGCCAGCAGGCAGACAACAGGGGGGTTTTGGTTGCTGGTTTGGATCTCCTCAAAAATAATACTAGTACAAGACTGATCTTATTTACATACATTTAGCTCAGTTAGATTCAGGATTTCATGATCTGTATATGCTACAGGATGTATTTTTCCAGTTATCCTAGATCAATCAGTTTTGCTAAGCCTCTCCAAACTGTCTGAAGAAATATATAATTCAGAACATTATCTCCAATTAGTAGAATTAAAATCAATTAAATAAGTCATCCCAGTAAAATAAGTATTTCCCTAAGGCTTAGTAAAGCACTACTAGCTAGTGTGAATGTTAGGAATAGAAAGATGGGAAAAAAACTCCAACCCCCAAATAAATTCTACTGTATTTAGAATAGAGTCAGTAACTTTTTTCTTGTTTCAATTTTTTTCTCTATTTCCTTTCCATTGTACCATTCTAATGCTCATGCAGTTTCAAAGGAAAAAAACAACAGAAAAACAATAATGAAACTAAAACCCAAAAATACATATTTCAAAACATAGTTTAAGAAACTCACATTTTGCCACAGGACCTACTCTCTCAATATATTATTAACTCTCTTTCAGCTGTCCTTTATATTGCGTATTTTGTTTGCTTGAAGTCACCTTAATTTCAGAATTTTTAGCTCTATATTGCTTCTGTATATGAACACACCTCTAGATTAAAACCTAATTAAATCAATTTACTTCTTATTTTAACCTGTAAAAGCACTGGTTAAACAAAAGGAGTATTCCTGGTGAAAATAAATTTCTTACAAATTGAATAAGACATTTAAACAAATTAGGAGCTAAGAAACTAATAAGAAATACATCAAGGAGTTAAACTGCAGTGATACTTTTACAGTTTTGAAACATTTAAAATAAATATATCATCTTAATTCTGTTCCTACAGTTTTATTAATAATGTCCAAGGACAGTATAATCAAGTACAAAACCTAAGAAAAGGAAGGCTCTTCCACTAGAGAGGCAGCTAGCAAAATGTATTATTTTAAATCTTGCTCAGTCTCAAGATTCATAATCACAAGTACTAGATAACAATGACAAAACCAACTGATAAAAACACCTTTGAATAGATGAAGGCTCTTGAGATCACTAGCATGACTAACAATTCCTTTGAAGCTAAGATCTAGAAGTTGATTAAGATTTAAATCATCATGTATTTCTCTCAGGGACAAACATACTGTGCTTTTACAACCCAGAGGCAAAAAGATTATGTAATACCAGTAAACATATTACTAACTTGAGCATAGGGGTCTGAAGTCAATGTCGGACATCATTCTTTATGTATTTAAGAGCTCAGAAATCAAGGTCCCGCTCTCACACTTCCATCATAAGGGGAAATACAAAATGCCATTATAGGGACAAATAAAAGAAAATTACACTTGTTATTCTTTTCATTTAAAGCCAAAAACAGAAAGGGGGTTCTCAAGGCTCAGGATTTAGGTTAGGTCCTGATATCTATTGATGGCCAAATACAACCTTTCTATATGAGAGTCTCCTGCTTTCTATTTAGATGAAGTTTCATGCTAAAAGGCATATTACAGGACAGATACATTTAATCTGTCACCAAGAAGGCAAATAATTTTTAGAAATACATTTATTATTTTATATTTCTTTTTCAGTTCAATGTGATGATTTCTAGTGTGGACTTAAATTTTCATATTAAAGATTACTCTTCGTCCTCTCAGTATGCATTCTGACTTACTTTTCAGTCATCTTTATACTGATAAAAATTAGCAAGTTATTTCCTTTCTTACACCAGTTTACTTTTACTTCTCTTTGACTCCTTCCAATGAAATATATCTTATCCTTTATTCCCTTTTGTCACTGCCTTTTGTCTACTTCAATTGTTCAAGGAAAGGTTCAAATAGCATTGGCCATTCATGCCAGTATCTTATTGCCTCCACTCTCCATCATTGCAGTGATACCAGCACAGATAATAGAATCATACAGTGACCTTCCCCTAAACACAAACAAATGTTTTCTATTCTTTTGCAACAATTGATAAATATGCCCAGGTCAATTAGTGAGATCAGTGTCACCCTGTTTTTGTTTGAAAGACAAAATGGAATTGCTAAAAGTCAAATGGGTTTTTTTAAGAGGTGTAACTAGCATTCAGGAAAATTTGAATTAATAGTCATTTGTTACAAAATCATGTAACAGTTATTTCCTAAAGACTATTGGATTAGCCCAGAGACAGTAATTTTTTTATCAGATTTCTAGGGCATGTTATCTACATTGCTATCCGTTATCTAGTACTGCAACACCACCATTTCAAGTTATTTATAACACATTTCCTTTATAATTTTGGAATAAAGATTCGTGAAGACTATTTGGTGGTTCTTTCTGCCACACCAATTTAAATGAAAGCAAGGCTCTCCTACACAGGCAACCTGAATATCAATACAGACTTAGAAATCCCATTATGATAAAAATGTGCCACAGCTGGTAACGTAGACTACCTTCAAAGCCACTGAACAAAACAGACATTTTTGATGCATACACTTAGTATGAGATTTTACAACATATTTTTCTTAGTATCTATTAAGAAAAATATCTTAATATCTTGCCTATTCTTGTCATTTCCATGATTATTAAAGTTAATCTTTACCCATTCTTGCAGGTGCATCCCTTAAGAAGTCAACAAAGAATGCATCTGTTTCACGATTCAGCAAAGCTTTTGGATCTTCAAATTCCTCCTCAATGAGTTTTGCTACAGCTGTGTGAAACCAATTAACATCTTCTGAGGTTGTGAAGCGATCAGCAATAACACATTTGCATTCATGCTTCCACAGTTTTATCAGCACCTATGTAACAAAAAACAAAAAAAACAAAAACAAAACAAAAACAAAAAAAAAAAAAAAAAAAAGAAAAGAAAAGGTGGGGGACATTTCACAGAATCACAGAAGGAGAATGGGCCAGTTTGGAAGGGACCGCAGTGGATTATCCTCCCTGCTCAAGCGGGGTCATCCAAGAGCACATGGCACAGAATTGCATCCAGATGGTTCTTGAATATCTCCAGTGAAGGAGACTCCACAACCTCTCTGGGCAACCTGTTCCAGGGCTCCATCACCCTCCCAGTAAAGAAGTTCTTCCTTATGTTCAGGTGTGAATCAGTTTCTGGCTCTTGTTCCATTGCTTGGCACCACTGAGCAGAGCCTGGCTCTGTCCTCCTGATGGTCTCCCTTTAGATGCTGGCAGACTTTGATGAGGTCTCCCCTCAGTCTTCTCATTTTGAGGCTGAACAGACCTAGCTCCCTCAGTCCCCAGAGGTGCCCCAGTCCCTTAACTGTCTTTGTAGCTCTCTGCTGGACATACTCCAGGAGTTCTATGTCTCTCTTGTACTGAGGACCTCATCTGGCTTGCAAAAAAACTAAATCAACTTTAAAGCTTTACTTTCATTTCTTAATTTAAAAATAACATTAACATTAGAAAATAAATAGTATTTGAGGGAATTCTTCAGAAAAGATACCTTGAGCTTCTTATTCTGGCTAATAGCAATTTAAGATTATATTCAGTTAACTATGGAAGAAGCCTTAATCTAGCATTCCAAAATAAGGTGTATGAAGATTTTTTTCGTCAGCCCTGAAACCATATCCATACCAGTTAACATGTTTATGTATTGATAAAACACTTTTCTAACTGGCCATTACAGAGAAGGTGCATGAAAATATAAACAATATGGCACAAAGAATTTCATGCCAAACACAGATATCACTCCCTATGCTACAGCCAAAGTAGTTAGATAAAAACAACAAAGAAAAAATGTTTAAGTGTTTATATTATCCCTTCTCCAAATTCAATATACCTTTAAAGTCTCTCCATTTGGTCACAGGATGAAGAAGGAGAACCTGTCAGGCTGTTAATAACAGCAGCACTGATTTTAATCCTATACTATTACCTTAGAATACTAGAAAAAAGTCCAGATACTTCTTGAAGACCTTTTGTTCAGCCTACAGCACTTTGTACAATTGATGCATACTATGTCAAGTCTCAGAACTAATATGTAAATTTATATTATAGTATTTTGACCAATAGTATTATAGTATTTTGGTTTTTACACTTCAAAAGACATTGAGTGTGTATATACAATACATAAGTGCTCCATGTTTTTCCTGCAGAAATTAAAATCCATTCTGAAGTTTAAATTTTAGATGCAATAGAATTCAGGAGCTTATTCAACAGAGATGCACATTGTATGTGAAGCTACTATATAACCCAAATATTAAACAAATTTTCCATATTTACCATAAACATTGCTTTTTTAGCCCTAAATGTTTCAGAGTTTAAAATTCTAAATGACTTTTCCTTAAAACAATTAGAAGAGAAATTGTGTTTTACTGGAAGATGGATTATGAAAAAAAAAGTACTAGTAATACTTGTCACTACTTCTTTTTAAAACATAAGCCAGAAACCATTTGTTAGACAGAAATTAGGCAGTGACTGAAAGTCTCAAGATACTAATGGAGAGGAGGAGATATTCAATTTTTTAATCAATATATAAGTATTTTCATTGGGTAAAAGTAAGTTCATTGCTTCTCACTTATTTTCTCACTTCTTTCAAATAAACTAGCATTTGTCAGTAATAGGAAAAGCAGATAGAAGTAAAGTGTTATGACAAAATAAATGGGTTTTTTCATTGTTTTGAAACAAACTTGTCATTTCAGTTGGTGCTATAAAAGCTGGACTGGAACATCTTTGCCTCAAAAAACCCACTAAGGTTGCATTTTTTTAAAGCAAATTCAAATGCCGAGATAGACTCTCATCCCCTTTTCTATACTAATTATAATAAGGTCACTGATGTGCTGCACTTACCTGCGGTTCATTGATCACTTCCGATGTAGCATTCAGCATTCCTTGCCAAATCCTCGAGAGGTCTCGAAGGTTGAAGACATAATGAAACTTGGCTGGTGTGGGCAACATTTTTAGCTTGGTAATCTGCCACAGTCTGCGTGTCAATGGAACCAATTTGGCTACTGTTTCCTTCACATCATCTGAAAATCCCCGCTCACTACAGTAGTGTCCTTCTCCAATTACACCTGTGGAAAGAAAGATTGCCAAATCAAAGGCACGTTAGTGCAACACCAAGAGCAATTATTATCTGAAGCTTCTGTTTCTTTTTTTTTCCAATCCCAAAAAATGGCTTTCTAGTGTATATTCAAATTTTGAGCTATTGTCCAGCATTGTCACTAAAACAATACCTTCATGTCATTCTTATTAAATCTGAGATTACCAAGAGTTTCAGAGATGTGACTGGACCTGAAAAATTGACAGACTGATGACATTGCGGGTGGGGAGTGATTACTGAAGGAAAATGTGCTGGTAAACAAATCAGAGGGGAACTAAACCTCAATTTTAACAATAATGTGTACCAATAGAATGATAAGGGAAAATTAACTACTATTTTAAAAAATGAGATGGATATAAAGCTAATTTCCCTTTACCAAAAATTTTGTCCATGGAAGAATTGGAAGGCAGAGTACAGTTGAACACTGAAAATTGTCTCTTCAGCCTCTGTGGAATATCATTGCGACCTCCCCCAGGGTGGATCATGGCAGCCAAAAACTGAATGTCCATGATGTTGGTAAATTCCCCAGGTTTTTCCAGGTTATACAGTCCTTTCTGTTCCATCAGTTGCCTAACTATCTCATTAGTGACCTGTAAAATAACCAGGTTTTATATAAGACAATGTTGTACATACAAGTGAATGAAATGCAAAACATACTTATTATGTTTGAAACACCTAAGAAAGAGTATAACACTATCTTGTTCCCTAAACTTCTGCTTACTTCCTGCAGGATAAAGCTGCACCGCAAATAAGCACATTTGATAAAATCGACGGATAAAAATCGTGGGACTAGAAGGGTACCCCCATTTAGAACTAATCATTCATACAACAATTTACTCTCATTTGAATGCTGCATGATTTCCATTGCTGTTGGAAATACTTCTGTCTTTTAAAACAAAATTTCCAGTTTTTCTAGTCAAGCCCAAAATTATTCATCTTTGCATCTTTTTTCAATCAAACCCAACCTAATGCATCGTGTTGCAAATGATACAAAATATTTGTATTAAGTTGGATATATAACAATATCAAGCATGGTTTTCAAGCTGAAATAATAGAACTACTTCCATACAAAAACAAGCAAGATCCTTTTCTCTAGCTATAAAGGGATACCCTACATTTCTGTTTGACAAGATGAAAATACCGCACAGAGAATACATCCTATAGCTATGTACCTATAGAAATTCTAACATTAGTTTCCAAACAAATGTGCTTCAGAATAATTTTTCAATATACAAAAAGATTACTTCCATTTTGTCTGAAGCAGAGAAGACACGTCTTACATCTCAGGTTTCACAGTATTTCAATTATTACCCACAAGGTCAGTTTGCTATCACGATTTGTGTGCCAAAGAATTCTTAATTTTAATTGCGAGTGTTGTTAAAAAAACATTATTAAAATTATACAGGCACATTCTAAGGAGCACTCAAACTTCTTCTTGCTGTCAGCATATTTATTTTCAATTAATTCCTGACAAATTAATGCAGAAAGGTTCTTTAAAAAGACTGTTTAAAATTAAAGTACTACATATCAAGTTCACCCTATTCTGAATGACTGAGAAGCCAATTTTACAGTGTAGCACAAAAACAAAGAAAACCTTTTGTCTTCTTTTTTCTTCTTCCACAAACTAACCTGATCTCCCCATTCATTGATTATGGGCATGTTCACATCATCAATGAAGACTGTCATCTTTTTGCCTGCAGGTGGACCATAAGTTGTGCCCATGCGCTTATCAACATAACTTTCTATTGTACGCTGTTAAAAAGCAATTAGCAGCATAATTACAAAGAGCACTTCATTTCATACATGATTCAATCACTTAAACACATTGATGGTTTTGTTACATAGAATTTTACTAAGTGAGGTTTAGACAAGACATTTGCTGGAGGTAATTGCACTAGTTCAACTAGAATGTCTGAAATCTCAGGGTATACAGCACTAGGCTGGGGTCTACAGTAGGCAACCATGCCTAACACTTTCATAAATCTGAATAGGTTTCAAATTTTCATTTTATTCATTTATCAGCAGAATTGATGATTGCTAGCAATAAAGATCAAATTGAAGATGTAATTCTAGAACACCTTTCCAGCAGGTGTCAATGGACTTCATAAAAGCATATATTTCTAATTAAACTCACATATATAAATACACTTGATGAGAAAATTTTGCCTAATGGTAGACCTGCCTCTACTGTTCTTCTTGTCATCTCTCCATTTCTATGTTCTTCTTAAGGTCCAGTTTTTATTTACTCTATCCTAAGTGAAAATTCACTTAACCATACATAATTATTCTTCAGTATAAACCTAAATATCTGCACTCTTACACTATGCTTAGGCTCCAGTCTTACACAATTGGCATCAGTTAGACCAAGATTTTAAGAAGCTAGAGTAATTTTTAAAGCATGTGTCATAACAGAATGTTTTGATCTAGGTTGTTAACAGAGAATTGACTTAGTCTTGTACATCTATTTCAGATGTCCTGATCATCACAATCTCACCTATCACAAATTGAATCTACATTTATTTTATAAAAATATGTTACTTTTTGTTTATAGCCCAATGAATAAAAGAAAAAATCCTAAGGAAATTTAGACCAAAACTACATGTTTGTATACTATATAATATGTTAGTCATTTCTACTATGCTATACAGGCAGATGATAGCGGATTCATCAAGCTTATAGACAGCACTTACAGTGCAGACAGTGCTTTGGCATGGCATACCAGACTGCATTAAAAATATTCCACAAATACATTGCCAGGAGGTTAAAGACACTTGAAATTATTCAAATTAATTTGGTAGAAATTCTGGACAGGCAGTACAGTTTGGGATTTAAGCATTCATAATTGTATGTAGAGCAGCTGCACTGCATGTGTTACTTTTTTAATGAGTAATTGTAATGACATTAAATTGTAGACAGCACACTTCGAATGACAGATTGTTGTGGGTAGCACTTATTTTACCCATGGTGTTTAGTGAAATCTAACAGCTCTTCCCAGTTAGTGAGAACAGACACATTTGACACAAAAACATAATATGATGAAGACAATAATAGCCATGTTATTGTAAAAGTCCAAGAACAGCTCAATAGCTACTGAAAAAGTTGAAAGGAACTATTTTTTTATAGAAGTCTTAAATCATGCATTAGAACGCTTGGGACCATTTGAACAGGTGCTTTTTTATTGTTTAGAATCACTTTCAGAAGCATCCTCCTGGCAAATTATCAGACTTCTCTTAATCCAGCTATCTTGTATGAGAAGATTAATCAGTACTATACCTGAAAAATTAATGGGGTTGTTGCAGATGAAAAATTCAAACTCTTAGTTATGTGCCTTTCAGAGTTATATTTTGACATAAAACCTTTAATTATAACAGTCTTCGCAGTTCCTTGCTCACCAATTAGTAGGACAGCCTAGACAAAGACGACATCGAAATAAGATGAAACAAGAGCTGTGTGTCTTGGCAAATGCTCAACAGTCCTTTTTAAAGCTTTTAAACAGAAAATAAACTAGAAAAATTATGTAAAGTGAACTCTTCACAAGAGATATGTAGAAGTAAAATAGTTAATGTTTCATAGATTTTCACAGGCCTGACAAGTTAAAAATATTTGCTGTTAATGGTCATGTCATCCAGTACAGTCACACTAACAAGGAAAGGAGTTAATTATTTGAAAAAGGGCTTAATCATCTAGAGACTCAGTATCTGTGAAATTTCAATTGCTTATGTGACACAGTTTTGGTGAAGAATAGGGTTTCATAACCTAAAGCTACATAAATTCTGTAACTGGCAGAGTTCAATCAGCAGAGTCAGATATGAGCCTCCTGATCTATGTGCTGCTCCCTCTCACATCAGTACATGAAAAAATTGGTTCCATTCTGACCTGATCTCAACATAATTACAGTTATTTCCACTACAGAACGAAGGGGTGAGAACAAGACAAAAGAGTCTGGAAGTAGTGACTATTCAAGAGTTCAAGCATATTTGCATGAAAGTAGCTTCTGGAAACACCATCTTATATCTTAAAAAAAAAAAAATTAAGTCCTTCCTTTTCAATAACATAATATTTCACTGCTAATCCAAAACTTTTATCATGTGTTCTGCTGGCAGTGCTTTGGTACGAACTATAAAAAATGTACCTTGCCCTGTTTTGCTATGGTTCCAATAAGGAAATCCATTCTCACATTGTCAACATTAGGCACAAGAATTGAGTCATACTCTGGGGTACCACTAGTGGGATATACATACTCTTCAACACGTGTATTCCAGTGCATCCATGTACCTAATAAGAAAGAAATTAATTTCATGTTTTAGAAATACTAGGCATCATCAATTCCTTTATTTTCCATTCAGTTCACTCATCTGCCTATGCTTCTGTCTCATGTACAGCAGTCCCTCTCTGTGTATCCATACTAAAATTTATAGAATCATATAATCATAGAATCCCTCAAGTTGTATCTAAGAGGCTTATTCCTCTTTTCTACATAAATTATGACAATAACAAGGATTACGTGTTCACCACAAAGTCCATGCAGCTTTTGTAGCAATATATCGCATTCTGTCTTTTCCCTGGAAACAGGGAAAACGCTAAACACAACACCAGTAAAGTATAGCCATAAAACAAAACTTGCTAAGGGACACAAAAGAAGGTAAGCTATAAAATACTTCTGAATTAATTATCTTTTAAAAAAACACAATTATAAAATAACTTTTTAATTTTACCCCATATCACCCTGCTGAGTTACTAACCATCAGATGCCACATAATAGTCAAACATTGTATCTTCACTAGCTTCTGGGATACAAGGAAGATCAAGCTTTACTGTTGCATGTTTTCGAAGCCAGTATTCCATTTTGCACCTGTCCTCCAGCTCTAGCAATGCTCCTATGCTCCACATGAGAGAGAAGATATACAGCCTTTCCAAGTATTTTGGAGTCAGTTCCCCACCTTGCTCCTGAAGGATTGAGTTAGGTTTTAATTTTCAACAGCCTGAAAACTCTACTTGATAATCATTAGTAACATGAGGTTAGAAGTCTTCAGCTGCACATCAATTTAGAGACGTCTTCAATGATCAGACAGAATCAATATAAACTGATAACAAATCACCCAAAAGTAAAAAAAGGAAAACTGTCAATGCATGCTCCATGTGCTTAATGTAAACCAGTGCTTAATATCAAATCCAAATGTGAAACTGTGAAAGAGGTCACATCCCAGCTATTATTTTCTAAAGAAACAGAAGGCATTCCTTATTAACCTGCATCTCCTTTGACATTCTAAGTTATCAAAGTACAGTAATTCAAAAGGCCCAGGAAGCTGGATACCCTTGAACCTTTCTTAATGCTATCACGTTTGACACCTGATTTTCACGTACAGAGGAAGAGACATGTGACATGCTGCTTTTAGTAGATATTTCATCCCTGAGTTTTCTTAGAATTTATGGGTAAATCTTCATAAAGTCTCTTCATAAAACTTTGTTACTTAAAATTATCTGCAATATGTTAAGTATATGGAAAAACATTCACACTACCTACCTTAGGTGGGATAAGGCCTTGCAGCATATTAATGCTCTGCATAATCACAAAGGCTTCCAACATCTCAGTCTTGCAATGCAGAGACTGAATGCTGAAGCGGTACAAGTCTGGGAACGATGAAAAATACAGTTGACGTAGAATTTCAGCCTCTTGAAAGGAACATTTTTTCAAAAATCCCTATTGTAAAGCACAAATTTAGTTCCCAATGCAAGTCTCAATTAATTAAAGTACAGTAATTCAAAAGGCTCAGGAAGCATGGAATCTTGATTTTTTTGGGGGCAGAATGTGAGAAGGGGGAGGAGGGGGAGAGTTAAGTTTTAATTAAATTAAGGGTTTAATTAACAGAAGATCAAATTTTACCAAAGTATGCATAATTCCTACTGGATGTTAAATATGAAGAGAATGGAAAAGAAAAAACTGTGTTCAACAGCACAAAAATAATTATTTTCAAATATTTTTTAATCACAACAGTTGTGAAAGGTATCCAAAAACTCTGCAAAGAAACCAAACAATATGTACTGAACACAAATTTGATTTATTCTACACCTTATTTCTAACAGGGAGGAGGATAACCTGAAAGATCTGGCAGATATACAAAAAAAAAATCAGGATATCGGGGGGAGGTCTGCTGGTGTGTTTAGCATTCTTATTGTGTATCTCAGTATTTGTAATGATGGATAAACAAAACCTAAATAAACTACCCATTTCTTAAGATCATAGAATAGGATTTGTTCTTTGATGCCTTTAATTCAAAGTAATAACGTGATTCTTGGTGTTACCTTGAAGTTTTCTCTTATCTGCAGGGTAGAATACTTCTCATTTACATCCCATAAATTTATTTCCTACATAAAATACAATCACCAGCAAAAGCCCCCAAAACTCAAAACAAAATTTTGAACAAACTGAAATCAAATACATTTGCTTTAAACATAGAATGGTTTTCTCTTGTGAAAGTAGTTAAAGTTGGAGTAGGCTTCTCAGTGAGCTCCTGAAGTCTCCATCTCAGAACTCAACAGGACACAGACTTCAGCAAATTCCTCTAGATTGACTTGACTAATGTTGTATTCAATGTTATCTCTAGAGGTTCTTTCCAAACTCAAATATATTGTGCTTCTATTATCCTTTCTACTACATTCATAATATTTTTAAATTCTACGTTGACTTCCCAAAGTAAATAAACTTTGAGACTGATTATAAATAAGGATATATATGAAAAACCTTTCTAAAATGGCTAGGTGGAAAACAAAGTGATAAAAATTAAAATGCAGAAGTCCTTAAAATAGACATCCAAAATTCACTGATTGTTCAAAAAAATATTAGAGGTTAGTAGAAAAGCTGATGTGTTTGCTTTAGAGAAGGTTGACGAGTAATGGATCAAATACCTTTGATCTCTTTGCATAAACTGCTTAAGAAGCACATTACATGAAAACAGCAACATGAACTTGAGAACTTGCACTGAACTTGGAATTTGCATATGTGATAATAATGCATCCAAGGAGGCAGCTATATTTATTTGTTTGCAAATGGTAAGGATTGAAAATAAAAATATATACAACTTCCTGCGTTATCCATATTTGTCATTAATCATGTTTTAAAGTTCCTCTGAAATATCAACGAGTACTGTTTCATTCATCATCTGAGAATCAGCAAGGTTAACATCTAACCTGACCTGTTGGAATATTAAGTGTATTATATTACAAAATAGATTTTAAGAAAGGTATACTGAAAAAGCCATCAAGACATTTTATCTATGATGTAAGACCAAACCAAAAACCCAAAGAAATGCTATTGGAACAAATTATAAATAACAATAGCCTTCAATTTTATAGCAAATTTTGTAAGGAGGAAAGGAAGGGCAGTTGGAAAGGTTACTTCATGGTGAATTGAACATAATTTTGCTTATGTAATCCAAAATTTGAAAAAAAATGTTTATTTTCTTTAGTCTGTTTCTACGACCAAATATACTAAAACCATAAGGTTATGGATTAAGGAAAACTAGTTTCATACAACTCTTCAACACAACTAAATTTAGCCTGCATCTCACTTGTGAGGAGGTAAATCATGAGTGACAATGCAAAATAAAATGCATTTCTTTCTGCTGTTTTTGCAGCTGAATCTTTAGCACAATCTTTAACATCCAAGGAGTGGTTGTCTGCAAACAATGCAAGGAGGCAGAGCTGGGAGAACCTAAGATCAGCAGGCCCTATACAGTGTTGTAAGCACAGAAAGGAATAACACAAGTGAAATCTCAGGGGAGCCACTGTCCTAGATTCAAAATTTACACTTTTCCAAGTATCCATATTAGTTAAAAAAAAAAAAATTTAAAAATAAAACTTGGCAGTAACATACATGTATTGACTGCATGTATTTGCGTTGGTAAAACTGAAGTTTTGCCAGCCAATTTTTTAGGAAACTTGTTAAACACTTTTTCCGTAATAGGACAACAAATATTTTGGGCATGGCAAAGAAACTCATCAAATGCATTAGTGATGATTCTCAAGTGTTGCAGAGACCTGTGACTGAATAGAAAATTCCATGTGATTTAATAACATTCTAAATGGAAAAAGTTTCAGATACTACTAGAAAAATATAGTATCAGCCCTCTGCAGCAACCCTCAGTTCTTCTCAAGCAGCAAACCTCCAAGTGTGCAACAAGTCAACAGGACACGGGTGTTTCCAAGACAGGAAGGAATCATCAATCCAGTTTCTTTTCCTCCTAATGGGTTAAGGCTAAGCAGGATTCTGGTGCCTTCCCTAATGGGTCTTTCTGCTCCTCACCTATTTTCCAGGCATTGTACCTGACTGGCCATTTCAGATCCACAGGTGGCAAAGAAACCTTGTGACTGTTGCCAGAAATTACAAGTTTACAGCCTTCCTCACCTTGGTAATTTCTGCTCACCAAAACGCATCCCCTGGCTTCACTTTTCCCAGAGGAGTTCCACTGCCTCCAGTCCCAAAGAGAGGCACCAGGCACTGCCTGGTACTCAGGGCTTGGACTACAGCATACTGTCTCAATTTCTTTCTGGGCTGAAACCTCTAATTTGCTAAGGACAGTGGTTCTAAGCAGTGCCACAAGCCAATTTTCCTCTGTTACCAGACAAATCAGGGATTTGGGGACAAGGAATCTGCTTATAAACAGCAAGCTGTATAAAATTTACAAGCATGAGAACCTTTGCAGGTTAAAGAAATAAGAAATCTGAGAATAACAGAGTAATCACTACAAAAGGCTGACACCTGAAAGTTAATGTCAGGTCAGCTGTATTTTCATAGGATTAGTTAAACACTAACTAGGTGAGGATTTGTTGCATTTTTCACAGGTATCCTATTTGATTTAGAAAACTGAATGACTGAATGAGACTGTGAGACATTAATCTCTAAAAAACTTGTTCATGTGATACATTCTAGAAAGGAGGACAGTAAAATCTAGTCTGTTAGAAAATTTAGTCTGTTAGCTCATAGTAACCTATCTATTTTTGTCCTTTTGAGCCTGAAAAACAGGGAAACAAACACACTACAAACTCCTGGATGGTGTTCCAATTTCATAAACAGGAAATAATTCCCATCTTAAAATTAAAATTTAAATCCCATATAAAGGAATTTAATTTGGGATTATCGTGAAATATACTTGGGTTTCAGGGAAAAGTAATTAAGTAATTATCTGTATGATCACAACAATAAGTATTTTAACCATGCAGGAGAAAGTTTTCATTATTGCTATTCAGGAGACAGACCACATTTATCAAAGCAAAATAATGTTAACCAAAGATTCTCAACAATATGGCCTAGACAAGAAGAAATGTAGAGAAAAAAAAAATTTAAAGTATTAAAAAGTATTAATCCTGAGTAATGTACTTCATTGATAAATTTCTAAGGAAATATAGGGCTTTACCAACTGAGAAACCAACTTTTTTTTAACTGCTACTGTCTCTATTGCTGTCTTTGAAGAAAAGAAAACTGGAAGTAAATGCTGAAAGCTTTGTTGAAATATATTACTATAGAATATTGGTAGATTCTTGGGAACTCTCATGTTTCATCTTTACCAAGATTTTTGCTACATGAAAAAAAAAGCAGCGTGCTCAAATCTCAGAATTTGTCATTCACTATATTGTTACAAGCATTCTGTCAAGATTAGGATTTATTTTTACTGGGTTTTGGAAGATGAAAGATGACATATAAAAGAAAAAAAAAGTACCTTAGAAATTACTTTGATGTATTTCAATATGTTATATGGTGGTTTTTGACTCTAAAACACACCTGAAACATGTTCTGTTTTTCTCAATTATTCACTCCATGCCAAAGAGACAGTTACTACTGCCTGGTTCTTCAGATACTTTGCTTCTAGGTATGTTAACAGACAACCAAGTAACAACATCAATTTAAAAATTACATGGTTTGATGCTGCATTGACTTTATTTCTAGATCTACATCCCAACTGCAATGAATTTTAAGAAACATCAAGAGAATGTCTATTTTCTTGAGGATTTCAAGTTCCCTGAATCAACTTTAGTGTTTTTTCCTCCTTGGTTTGAAGCTGTACTATGGGATACCAGGCAGTTAGTGTTTCAAAACCTGAGTTGTCCTTCAGTTGCATAAAACACTTTTAATTACAAATTTGTCCCAAAGTAAAATTGCCATATTCTTAAAAGTGTAATATGTTAACTATGTTCCTTAAAAAAGTATTCACTCTTGTATAAACTACCAGGAACATTGCTATTTTAAGTACTGACCTAGAAGTTCATAAAGAGAAAAAGGGATTTCATAGCAAAAGGCACAAAAATAGGTCCTACAGTAGGAAGAGTGAAGTGTTGAAGAAGTAACCAGTAAAACTTTCAATGCATTTCCAGACACTTAGCTGTTCTACCTCAAGGATAGGACTCCAGGGGAGAACTGATGAGCTCATGAACACCATCCCATTTCTTGAAACTGTTGCTGGAGAAGCATTGTCAATATTATGAGGCTCAAAGACTATTTTGCAATTTGGTGCCATAGGTATCCGATCACCGTTTGCTAGTGTTAGAGTCCTGTTGTCATCCAGGACAGAATTTAGGTTCTCAATCCAAATAGCATCAACTGGGCCATCAAGAACTATCCAGATATGGTCTCCTATAATGCAACATAAAAGACAAAAAGACCTATAGATGAAGTGCTAGTTTCTTTCAAGGACCAGATTTCTTACTTCTGAAAACAAATTTTTAACTAATTCTGAATTCATGCACACAGCTACCATCTCAGCTTTTAATACAACTACCATTTCCATCACTCAGTTTCAGTTGGGTACTTCATTTTGTCACCTATTCATAATAATTATCCATTCTTCAGTATATAAAGTGCCATCAGCATAAGTCACCAGTTTTTAATACTCTCAAAATGTTTTATGGATTCAGTTTTCAAGACAGTAATAAATTAGGTTTATTTCAAGTTGCATGAAACAACATAAAGAAGATAATGACTACATTCATTTGTTTTCAATGAGTTTTATAAATGTAGAGAAATTAAATGAGAAAACTTGAAAAATAACTCTTTCAAATAGCATGCACACTGTTGTAAGTAAAAGATGTCCCTTAGGGGATGATTCTTGTCATTTGTTCTGTCCCTAAACTTGACTTATCTTCCTTTTAAGTTTTTCCATTGCTTTCCATTTACTAATAGAAATGTATTTTAAAGCCTGCCTCTGTTTCCTAGGAGGGTCTGGGTCTGTTATGCTTGCCTTGCTGGGGTACAGAACAACAGACCCTGGCTGGAAAGAGACCCCACCTTGTATCCTGGCTGCCCACCCGTTAGGGAGCAGATTGCCCCACTGTGCATTGCTAGACATCTCTTTAGCCAGAGAGTGTCTTTCTGCCTTCAGAGTCAGTGTTTCTTTTGAAGGCCTAGGTGGCTTGGAGCTTTGCTAGCATTGTGCCAAGGAGATATGGAACAGATGATAAACTTTTTATATGAGGGTTTTTATAGCTACTCAAGCATGAGTAGCTATAAAAAAAAAAAAAAGTACTCCGGCATCTCAAGCATGAGATAGTCTGGAGTTTGACTCATAAAGAGATATTACAGAACTCTTACAGAGTAAATCTGAGGAAGTTATATGAGTGCGCTAATATATATTTCATCTTGAAGGAAAAGATAAAAAAATCAATAGTTAATGCTATGTTACATTCTCAAGGGTGTTATATTTCTAGATTTGAAACACGCCTACCAAAATTAAATTGAAAAGCATTTTCTATTTTAAAAGTATCTAGTTCTGAAGACTAAGAATTTTTGTATGAAAGTAGTGCAACTAGTGTTAGGATTTTCTTTTCTTTTTTTCTTCTGAGGCATAATTATAAGATTGCATACTAATTTTCAGACAAAAAAAGGAAGAAACCATCTAGCATCAAAATATCAAGGCCACTCATTTAGTTAAAATAGCAGTCTAAGAATATATGTCAGCATAATTTTAGGCAGATATTGGCTGCCTAAACAGAATTATATAGTGCCATTTGAGATGGATTATGTATAACACAACTGATAAGATTTATTTCCTTTTAATATGGCAGCTGGAGAACAGGTAGAAATCCTGACAGCATCAAAATTTGTATGCGACACCACTACTGGGGCAACTGACTTTTACCTTCCACTTTCCTTCCACATGAGGGCCTAATATACAAAAGAGAGAATTCAGTAAATGCAGTGATGTAGTATTTCTTACACTACACTGTTTGAACACAAAGAATTTAGAATAGAGACTGTAAAAGGGAGAGAAGTTCTTCTAGCAATTTTCCAATGCTTCCATGTAAGAAAAAAAAATCTGTTACTGTGCTTTTTAAAGTTTTCCCAAAGCTTTTTCTTTTCTCAGGTTTTTTCTTGTTTTATTTTGAATGGAAGCCTTTTTCATTATACATTTATTCGGTCTGACTGACCTGGAGTTCCTTTCCCCATAGCAGCCCTAAACAGCGCTGTGCTCTGCATTGGTGACTGGAAAGGTGTTGATAACACACCAGAGTTTTGGGTACTGCTGAGCATCACTGGCACAGCATCAGCTCCCTCTCAATACTCCCCACATCAAGGGGTTGGGGGTGAGCAAGATCTTGGGAGGGAACACAACCAGGTCAGATGACCCAAAATTTCCAAAGGGATGTTTCATGCCATATGACATCTATTCAGATATAAAAGCTAAGGAAAGGAGGAGAGTAAAGCTTCTGTTGTTTACAATGTTTGTGTTCTGGAGCAACCTCTATGTGTGCTAAAGCTCGGCTTCCTGGGAAGTAGCTGAACTTTGCTTGCTGATGGGAAGTTGAGAACAATCCTTTTTTTTCCCTTTGCTTGTGCTTATGCAAATTTTTTGCTTTTCCTTTAGTAAACTGCCCTATCTCAATCTATGAGTTGTTTTCCATTTATCTTCTCTACCCTGCCCAACTGGGCAAAGGAGTTGTAGTGCAACTTCATGGGCACCTGGAGTCCAGTCAAGGTCAACCACAATACCTTTCTTTGCTCTTAAAGTTTTTCTCCAGAGCGCTGAAAATATGCCATCTGTCCAATCATTTGTTGCCACATCAAGGCATCCAAACATTTGCGGAGCAGTTATAGCTTTAGGATTCATTCTCATTTCACGATGTGGCTGTCCACAATCTATGAGGCCAGACCATCAGTTAGTTTTTACATTTCTTTTCAGCAGTAAGAGAACTTAGACAAACTTAAACTCATTACACCCAAATGTGTGCTTTAATATGCATTCATGATTATAAGAACTTGTGTATTTACTTGAAAAACTTCTCTTGCTATACAAAATCCATTAACAAGAAAAAAAGTAAAATGAAGTTCTGAAACTTTCGAATATTCAATTCACATTTCATAGCTTTATGGGGAACAGAAAAGCAGCAAGATGAAATTTATTCAAGGTTTAGTTTAATATTTTGAAGACTTATCAAACAGTAGAACTTTAAAACATTTGGTTTGGATGCACATTTTTAAAACCCAATGAATAATATCAGAAAGATGATTGATTATTTTACCCTTCTGTGCACTTGCCCACATCTTAGAACAGGCAAAATATACAATATTGGCATATCCTTGTGAATTCTCTTAGACAGACAAATTCTATCTAGGCATACCATGACCATATAACCTTTATTTTTTATCTCATTAGCAAAAGCCTAAAAGCTACTATGTTGGACATATTTAAAAACCCCCAATATTCAAATGTAACCAGGAGCCAATAATAAGATATTGAAAGAAAGAGCTGAAAAAAATTAACTTATTTTAAAATAACTTTGTATAATCAGATTTCACTAACATGTAAGATAGAAGCCTGACAGATCAGTTTAACCTTCCATGAGGTTGTGTGAGAAGATCAGCTTTGAAAAAAGTAGTGAGATGACTTTATCTTGGTGGTAGTTCACATCTCAGTGCTAGAAAAAATATATGGGAAAACTGTGTAATGCAACTTTGTTCTTTCTGCTTTTTTTCCTAAATGGAACAGCCATTTCCACTGCAATGTAAAGTTTACAGTGTTTCTTAAGCACAGCACATTACTGCATGTATGAGACTTGCCGAACTATTTTTGAACTATTTTTTACAGAAATTATTTACTTCTGGAAAATCATAAGCAACTTGGTAAATGGGGTAACACAAGCTTACCTCAAAAGAGATGTTTTTCTCCCCAAGCTATGGCCTTTTATTTTAATAAGATCAAGCAGATATTCTTCAACTAATATTTTTGTTTAGAAATGCATATGACAAAAAAAAAAAATAGTCTTCAAGCCACCAGCAAAGACACAAAATACCTTTGAATACTTTTTCACTGTCTAAACCAGGAATTTATGGTTATAAAACCAGTTATTTTATATTGCAAAGCCCCTGTCTTATGCATTGTGTGATTAGCAAAAGGTTCCAGCATTACTTCAGCAAAACCCAGGAGACGCTTTAATCACTTGTCTGTGCTGCCTGCCTAGACTGTATTCCTCTTTCTTAATCCATCTATAATAAGAATTTCTTATAAAAGTATGATAATATGGAAAAAAGGATATGAAACATACAGTTTTGAACATCAGACATTTTTAAGCTACTGGAATAATTAGTATCTGAACATACAAACTCATTCTTCCAGTAATGTATTCTCAGAGTGAAGCAATTGTTTTCTGAGAAGAAACAATGGGGCTTAAAGTTTACAGTGTAACAGTTCAGTAACAGTTTACAATATAAAGTACTAACATACCTGTCATTGCTTTCATTAAGGTGTGGATGCAGGTAGTTTTTCCTGCACCACTAGGTCCTAGTGTCATCAATCCATGCCTTACACTCTGGGTTTCAAAAAGCTGGATAACTTTCAGTTTCCAAGGAGAATGACAAACAAGGCCAGATTCCTCCACCTAAGAGACAGTGACATGAAACCAAATTACTATTATTTTAGAGCACAAAATATATTTTGATGTCTTTAGATATAGATAGATATATAGAGATAGATATAGATATGTCATCAACAGATTACTATACTCTTTGTAAAGGCTTTTTGTATATTAAAAAAAAAACTGTTGGAAAAAGGAGATATATTTGGCATTCAAATACACATTCAGAAAAATAACGTAAACCAGCCTCTATATACATATAATCTATGTACTTATAATCTATCTGTTAGATATATCTATTATATATCTATAATATATATAGACATTGTATTCTTAAGCTGGCCCTACTAAATGGGAAATTAAATAAAAGAGATGTAATTTTAAGTAAAACCTTTCTCAAATTAATATTCTAATTGCCAGGACTTTAGATAAATATTAAATCCTGGGTCACATAACGTAGGGTCATATACATGCATTTGTCAAATTCAGTAACTATGACTCAAGAAAACCACAGGACACTATAATCCTAATTAATTGACCTCCTGAAGAATAAGCTTAGTAATACTATGCCAGTGGTAAAGATCTATGGAAAAGCTTAAATAGTAAAATATAATATTGCCAGCAAGATTGACTTCACAAGAAGAATTTTCTTAGATGTCACCTCATGACAGTTATACCAGAGCACCATAAATCATGAGAAATATCACCTGTTTGTCAATGGATACTTCAAGTTCAGGATAGCCTGCTTTATCAAGCTGGATATCTGGAAACAGATCTTCAATTAAACTCAGAAATAAGGGTTCGTCTTCATCAGTCTAGAGAAAATCAGGGAAAACAAAAATCCACACAGATTAAAACCTATTCTGTTTATTTTATCAACTTTAGAAAGAACAATCCCCAAGTCCTGAAGACCTAAAGAAGTTCTTGAGAACATAAGGAACCACCTATAATAATCCTCTAGGTGCTAAATATTAGAAGGACACATCAGAAAGACATGCTTCTATTTGTCAAAATAAACCACTAACATGCAGACTGAATTTCTTATAGTAGATTTTAGCAATAGCATTTAGAAAATTGTCTATTTTATTTGGTGTAAAAAAAAAAGATGTATCACAGAAACAGAAGAGGGTTGTTACCTATTTAGACAGGTGAAATGGTACTCATTACTACAAATAACAGATTCTTTAAAGAATTACTAAATACTTAAGCACAAAGTTTCTAAAGAAGTTTCTTCATAGACATCTATTTTGTTACTCTCTTCTAAATGTAGCAGGGAAAATATGCAAAAAATAATTCTGAACAGTTGAAGGTTAAACCCAGGTAGAAACTTAAGCAACAGAAAGCTCACTCCCTCCTCAGTCCCACACAGGGTACTATGAGAAATTCATCTCCATCCCACCCAAAATGTTCCACTCAGAGAATGAAACATTTCCAAGCTACCTTCAGTGTAAAGGTCACATACAATCTTCTAGTGATGACATAGCTCCAAAGTGAAGTTTAAATTATTTATCAGGTCCTCAGAACTTACTAGTTTAGACAGGTTCATATCTCTCAGAACACGCATGACAATGGTAGATTCAGTATCTGTAGGATTTGCTCTTTTTGCTGCTCCCAGTGTACGCAGCACAGATAATATATTCCGCAAGCCAAAATCATAATGCACCTAGAAGATATGTGAAGTTTGGGAAGATTTCCCCCAAATTAAGAGAGAGGAAACAGTTCTTATTTATATTTAAGACATGGATGGATATGTAGGAGAAGTGGTACACGTGTTTCAACTGCCTCCAAACATCCGTCAACTATTTTTTGGCTGTATGACTATGGGCTACTTCACTGTCCAAATCTGCTACCATCTATTAAAACTAAGGTGTGACAGAAAAAAAAAAAATTGAATCATGAGTCAGGGTTCCCAAGGACTATTGAAAAATACTTTATCAGTATTCTTTTGAATTCTCTGTGGCCCTTGGAAGCCGAGAAATACCTGTACAAGCACAGGCAGCACAAACCAAATGCCTCTTAACCCACTCTGTAAGGCCAACAAAAACTATGATAAAGTCTTTATTTGTCTCAGCCATCGCCATTCATTAAAGCTAAATCTTAATAATAAGCAGTGTTCTGCATGAAAGCCCCATCCTTTCACCGACAATATGCAGCAGGAGTTAATCCTCCAGGATAGCAGAGGGCTGCATTACTAAAGTGCAAATGTCTCTTAGTTTACTTAGTGAACATGAACCTTTCCTTATTCTTCACACGAATATTTTGTGACTTCACAGATAGTTTTTCCCATAAATAATCAGGTTGCATCATATGAATATAATCACCTGCTTGGACAGCTGTTCTTCACACAGCTTGTACAGTGTAAAGAATTTCCTTGCCAACACAACATTAGCAATGAAACCACAACTAGCCAATTTAACAAGAATTATGATCTGACGATCAGGAACCATCATAGCCACTGAACGGAAATTGATCTTCAAGTTTTCAGGAAGTTCTTGCCGCCCAGCATATCCTGGATTCTGAAAAGGAAAAACAGGTGTTGAAGTTGAGTGTACCTTGCACAAACAGAAGAATCAGCAAAGGAATATGCCATCTTGGTAGGTAAAAATAATTTGTTGGCTTTAAGTCACATGTCAAAATTAATTCCTATGCAAACTTACCACCATATCTCTACAGAATTTTTGCCTCTATTATAACAATGAGATATGAAAAATGTCCCACCTAAGCATTTCTAATCTGATTTTTTTTTTTAGGTCCTATTTCTACTAGCTACTCCTACCTATATCTCTATAGCAATTTTTCTGTAATTGTAGCAAAAGGCATACTTTGGGAGCCAGAATTTGCCAGCAATCTGAAATTGAGATAACTTGTATTTATGGTGCTGCCTGCATTTGTTAGTTGCATGTGCCTGACATTATCGAAACAAGATCATGTAAACTGTGTTTGTGGCAATGCTCAATGTTCTCAAACTATCAGTGAGTCGGTTCTAAGAACTGAATGACATATGAGTTAGCAAGTACCATGTTAGACTTCATTATTGTACAATCATCACTGGTATATTAGAAACTTACTGAATACTTACCATAGTAAGAAAGATGCCAAATTCTGGGTTCATTTCTACATTGTCTCCATCAGTAAAAATAAACCTTTTTTTACGTTTCTTCTTGCATGTCAACACAATTGCTATTTGCTGTGCAGCTACTGATAGCACTGGTAAATCAATACGATTGAATTCATCAAAGCAGCCCCAGGAGCCAGATTGAGCAAGACCTTCAAAGAAAAAAGCAACTAAGCATACAATCATTGTTTTTTGGTAAAATTCACAAGCCAAAAATTAGGTTAATCTATCTTGGGGCGGAGTGGGGGGGAGGGGCAGGGGGGAAGTGTTTATTTTTGAGGATTGGGAAAGGAACAAAGAGAAGAATTTTAATTTATTTCAAGTAAGAAAATACAAATTCACAAAATCCTTAAGATTTTCTAGGATACTATGTTCTTTGATTTCTTCTCTTTTTCTTCTTGTATCTTGAATGTTTTCCTGTTCCTCTTTACCTCCCAAGAAAAATTCCTGCAGTAATTGAATGAAAATGGGACAGGTTGTCAACAGCTTATTGTATATATTAAAATGAACAATACAGTTGCATAAAGATGCTGGTGGTCAGTCTGTGCTGGAGCTGTATTTTTCCGTGGATTTTTTGGGGAAAACAAAAGAAAACCATAGATACATTCACTTGCAACAATACAATACTCAAGAACTTCCATTTGGTCTCTAATTTTGACATCTGCCATGACTGACAGGTATAAACTTCAGATACCTAAAAAAGGTCATCTGCAACTAATTTCATTGAGCTCTGCCAATTGTTTTTAACATATCTAGAACTACCCATGCATTTCCTTCTACTGATATAAACTTCAATATTTGATTGAGACAAAATACTGAAACTAAAATTCAGCCGTCCCACCAGTTCAGTTTCCAATAAATTTCATAGCATTTTCTCTTCATAGCAGCAGTTCTCCTTGTGACTTAAAGTCATTTTAAGTGACTTTATTTATCCTTTCATAAACTGTGTCATGTTTTCATAGCATTTCTATTTACTGAAGACTGTTGCAACTGTATTTTATACACATAAAAAGGTATTAATTACTTGCATTTATTAAAAAGCTGAAACCATGTGCTAGTTATATCTCAACCTTGTTTCATGGAGATGTCCACTTATTTGAAACTTTCACATAGTTCATAAAATCATATGTCAGGGCATAAAGGACTGACATATAAAGGACTCACAAGGATCAACAAGTAGAACTCCTGACTCCACAAAGGTGTATTTAAAAGTTAAACCAAATATATAAGATAATTGTCTAAGCACCATTTGGACACTAAAAGGCTTGAGACCCCAAAGACTTCCTTGGAGAGTTTGTTCCAGTACTTGACCACACTCTCCGTGAATACCTAGCTTGAATTTCACCCCATGCAGCTTCAAGCTGTTCCCCGATATCCTATTATCAGACACCAGAGAGATCAGCACCTCCATCTCCACTCCTCCTCATGAGGAAGTTATAAACAGCAGTGAGGGTACCCCTCAGTCTCTCAGAGCAAAACAAACATAGTATATTAATCTATTCCTCTTATGTCCTCTAGCTCTTTCACCATCTTTTCTGCTGTCATTTGGATACATTCCAATATTTTTATATGTTGTTGTATTGTTGATTCCAGAACTGCAGAGTACTTAAGATGTGGCCAACTAGGCTAAGTACCATGGAACAACCATTTTCTCTATCCAGTTTGTTATACTGTGCTTTATGCACCCCAGAAAATAATTGACTGGCCAACAGTTTACCTTTGGTCCACATCTTACCTTTGAAGATCCTCCCAAGTCCTCGGAAATCCATCTGGTCTGAACAGTTGAAGACCACTACATATTTTCCAAGGCACCTTCCCATATCTTTCACTGTTTCAGTTTTTCCGGTTCCTGCAGGTCCCACAGGCGCTCCACCCATGTTCATGCCCAAAGCTTGAGCCAAAGTGATGTAACATCTAAAAGGCAACAAACAATAGATTTCTGTACAGTGCTAGAGGAACTTGCATAAGGTCTGATTTAAGTAGTAATGGGAAGTGCTGAAATTATATTCCACTAATTACAATTTAGATCAGTAAGGACAAAACTCCTTCACTTAGTCTCTGATGCAGGGAATATTAAGATTCATTTCATCATAAATAAAGTGAGAGAACAGATAATCCTCAATTCTCAGCAATCTGTAAGATCACAAGAAGGGAAGAAAGCAGATACAGAGATGCTGCCTAATCTTAGTTTTAATAGCTTGGATACTGAGTTATTTTATCTGGAGTAGCTTTGAAACACATTATTCCGTGGAGTACAATAACGAAAGATGTCTAACCTTTCCTTTCTCGTCCATCTTTGAAATTTGATCACACAGTGCATCCCATTTTCATAAATGAAACATCTATGCATAATTCAGGAAAACACCAGCTAATAATTATATATCAAGACTAGCTCTAGAATTTTTTGTATGGAATAGTTAAAAAAATAGACTACAACAAACCAAACAATGCCTTTATTTTGCCAATGATAGGTTATAAAGAATTCTTTGTGCTATTTGAGTTAGACAGGTATATCTCACTGATAATAGGATTGCAATTCTTTCAACATCCTTTTAGATCAAAGATCTCCAAACTACTGCAGCTGAATAAAAATTGCTTTTCCTGTCTGTTCTTTCTTTTGCATTTCCTGTCTGTTCTTCCTTAGCTCTTTTCATTAGCTTGTCTGTAAACACTTACTTTTGTCTTATATCTCTACATATTTTATCTGTTGAATATGTCAGATCCTCAGGTATGTTGGCTTCATGTACATAAGAATGCAAGTCACTTACATCATGAAAGTAGAGACCAGTGCAAGTATGTGAGAGAAAATTATTCACATTATAGGGCACAGAAACAAAAATATTCAAGCAGTCCATATCAAAGTACTGACTTTGACAAGACTGTGAAGGATAAACTCTGCAGAGATCAATGTTGCATCCAACAGGAATGACAAAATTGCTCTTGTAAAAGCCGAGGTTTGGCAGCAAAGATTAAAGGAATAAAATTAGTCTTTTTCACCTGTCTGTAAGAGGTGTTATGACAAGCCTGTCAGTACAGCCCAAGAATTCATTCTGGTATGTAAAGCTCACATCAGTGATCTTAACCACCATTTTATCAATGTCTTCATTAAAATAAAATCTACATTGTTTCAGCCACTCAAAGTCCGTAGGGCTCTTGATATGCATGCAGCACTAAGAAGAGAGGGAAGACAAGGCTGTGACATTCATCGTTAACATTTACTTTCAAATTTATATTGTACCATCGAAGTAGTAGATTCAAAGGTAGCACTGCAAACATAGTGAAATATAGTGGATATTGGTAAATCTATCTGGATTTTTACCACAAAAATTGCTAATGTATTAATGTTCAATCGCATACTTAGGCGAGGAACTTCAGGTTTTAGATGAGTGTGTCAAAATTCTAAATACAAATTAACAGTCCATAAGCCTCAAACAAGAGTCATTTCAGTTTAACCTTAAAAATGCCATTCTTTTTAGTCCTCTCTGCCACTTTATTTTTACATGAGTCAGAAGTACATAATGTGATATTTGTAACTGCCATGAGAATTGTATGAAACCACATGCATATTGGGAAAAAAGATATTTCCTGCAGTGTCATGGTGCTGATACTATGCAAAGAATTCAACAGAACTGAGAATAAGTCACAGTTGCTCTATTGAATATTAAAACAGGATTTTAAAAAATGATTTAATTTGTATCTAAAAATCACACTTTACATAAAATTATTACACTAGAAACAAATGATTCTATAATTAAAAGATAAATGCTGCCGATTAATAATGGGCCAAAAGTCAATAATTCTTTACTTGGACAGCTTAATTTCAGAATCAGGTCAGGGACTTCCTACAGGTAAAAGGGTATGTTAGCTTTAGTTTTATCAAGCTAAATGCTTTCATTTTCCTTATTTTAGCATCCTGTGTCAGCATGAGAAGGTGTAAAGTGAATAAAGAAATCCCTGGGTAATAATTAGGTATGCTATTGAAAGTAGAACAGAGAGAATACCAGCTTCAACCTTTTTCCTCTACTATAACTCTATATTCATTTTTTTTACTTGCAGAAATTCATTATGCGGTCAGAAAAGGGAAAATTACTTGCAACAAAATGTATGAGGAAAAAGAAGTCCCTAACTGATCATGCTACAGAGGCACTATTACCTTTAGTGGACCAACATGAAACATGACAAAATTCTGCTACTGCCTGGGAAGAGGAAAAGCCATTGAATTACTTAAAAGGAAATTAAGATTTGGTTGAAGCAGCGCCAGCACTTTTATTCCAGGACACATAATCATTACAGTAATGAAATTAAATGTTTATCTTACGAGGCCAGAGATCATAGGTATCATAATATTTTCTTATCATTTCACATTATATTATGTGAAAAACCCCTCGTAATTCATTGTTAGTTTTTTAATACTTACAAGACCATCAAAAATGTCCCTCTGATGCACATGAATAGTGATTAATGTCTCGTATTTAACTCGCTCAAATGGACTAAGGTCTTTTGTTGTCATATCTATCAACACGTTCAGAAGATCCAGGAAAAACTGATTTGTCTTATGCATAACCTTTTTATCCTGCTTGGCAAGAGTCAAAGCTTCTTCTGAGTCTCTTGTCCAAATCATTTGGATCCCCAATAACCCAACCTTAGGAAACACAGAAGTATATGCTTCATAATTGTTTCTCTTTCACCTAAAATGTACATTCAGAGACACAGAAAAACTAAAGCAATTTTTCTCCTACCATATGTATAAAATTACTTTCTATGCATTCATACAGAGGTCATGTTTTGTGTGTCCCAACTGCATTCATAAACACAGTTAAACCTGTACTTCAGTCTCATAGATACTGCCTACAGTGCACTGTTTATACAACTGCTCAATATAATTTACAGTATATATAAAAATACTATATGCAACAAGTATACTTGATATAAATAATAACTAGCCAGTGAATAATTAGTGCTTCAATTTGAAATATTTTTATAGTAATTCAGAAAGCCTTTATTCCATCTCCAACAACATTCCTGATCACAAGTGAAGCTTCTACTAAAAAATAATTTTCCCTCAACACTACGCTCAGTTTCAAGTCTTTAGCAATACATAGCATCCTGAATACATGAACAAACAAACAATTTTACTGCTTTTCCTCCAGTAGTCAAGTACTAAGTTTGTAAAGAAATAGTGTTAATTTCATTACATTAATTTATTGCATTCAGCATCCTTTTTAAACAGGAACTTAAGGGTAAGTTATTTTGGCTTCAGCTACGTGAAACTGAAACTTAAAAGACTGAGATGATTCAAATAAAATTAGATGCTAGTTCTCTATTTAACACTGGCTGCAACTTTGCATGCAAAGACAAGAAAAAAACTTGATACATATATGAGAATAATTCTTCATTTGTTTAACAATGATATTACCTGGGCTGGATAAGTAGAAAGAAATTCAGTAATCTCAAAACTTGTTTCCTGGATGTCCATAGCTGCTTGTCGAATAACTTGATGCAGGGATAGCTGGGATTCCTTCAACAGAGAGCTGAGCCAAACTTCCACGTTACCTTCAGCCATTACAGGCCTAGTCAGCTCTACAGTCTCACCCTCTCGTGAACTGAATGACAATATACGATCATATATCTAATAAAAGAAAAAATATCTTGTAGTTTTAGATACATTATTTATCTTTACAATACCTCGTATTTTCCTGCAGTCACTCCATTACACTGATTTAAGTCTCTAATAAATTATATCAACTCATTCAATGAAATGTAAAGACTATTAAATCATTATTTTGCTATGCAGAAAGGCTTTAAACAAAACACTGCCATGAACCAGGAGACAAAACCTAATATATTGACAATTCCTGAATCTCACTAAAGTTTCAATGGCAATCCTGTCCCATGTGCCCTAGAATGACCCTGTTTGAGCAGGTAGGCAGGACCAGACTACTCACTGTGGTCCCTTTGAACCTGGCCCATTTTGTGATTCTTTTACATCCACTTTCCAGCCACAATAAAGGAAGCCTTGCCCCATTATTGGTGGGTTAGCAGCCTAACAAAATTTACAGCCTTAGAATCAAAACTAATGAAAGGAGAAAAGTTAAGGAACATGGAATATCAGAGGAATTTCAAAAGCATGGGGAGGGAATTATTTTCTAAGCAAATGCATACATAAGGAGAAAATGTTGCTATCTGTTCTTGTAAAAGGTATAAGAAAAGTGTTCTTCAAACATTGTGTGTGAAGGTATAGTAAGTGCAGGTCAGAAACAGGAGAGACAGTGCATACACTTTTTCTTAAAATCAAAACATGAATGGAAAAATACAAATACAGGCAATGTAAAGATACAAATAAGCTCATAAAGACTAAAAAGCTTATTTGAGAGGAAGCCACAGAAAAATGTTCAGTACATGGATGGATTTTTCTGAAATTTAAGCACTGGTGTAAATTCTACATGAAGTTTTACTACATCATAAATGAGGATATTAAAAAAAATCTTAAATGAAGAAAGCCTACTCAGCATCAAGTAGTTACTGAATAAAGTAAAACAGCTGAATGCCTTATGCAACCGAGTAGCTCTTTAATTTAGCAAGTATCAGACATTGTTAATGTGAAGGAATGTAACATTGAGGTGTGGGCAGTACATACCCTTTCATGGAACCTGACGTTTTTAATGTTGTCAAACACATTCAGCAGATGTGCCTGGATATTGTGAGAGTTGGATGCCTGGCCAAGAATTTCTAAGAGAGCAGGATCTGACACGAAGAAGAATCGTGGAAATAGCAGTCGCTTTTTCTCCAGGTACCTGTATTTTTTAAAAATTGGTAGAGAAGCCAGGAGGGAGTAGATGGTAAGTGATATGGGTTAATTTTACCCTTTAAAAGTGGTATTTCTTGCAATTTATTATACCACTTTTAGCTGTAGCAATGACAATTTTTATCCATCATACAGTCATCTTAAGCATCTGCTTTAAAGCTACTGTTTTAGCATCAGAAATCATTTTATGGAAAACTTTTATTATTTGCTGTAATCTAACCATCAGTAAAAAGAAAATAAACTAAACTGAAATAAAATATTTCTACATTAACTCTTTTACTTGCTATTTACATCTTTCAAGCCGAAGGTCTCCCAGATCTATGAAAGATATGAATGGGAGACAGAAATCTAGACTGCCTTCTGGATTGAAACTAGGCTGAAACCAGGTTTGGTTTCAACAAACACAATGAGTGACACCTTAGCCACAAATCAAATACTTATCCATGAGTTAGTTTCTTTGGAGATATTGTATTACCCTGCTAACTTGTTTGCTCAGTTCAACTGCATTCATAGTAGAAGAACAACATGATATTTTCAAAGTTCATGGGACAGTACTTGAGCAATTGCTTTCTCCCCGGTTACATAATGCACAACCATCTGACCAAGAACGTGGTCTCATGGTAATCTTACCCTGTGAGAGATTTCTGACAGATTTCAAGCTGTTCCAGTAAATGTGGCAACAACTGTCCCATTATCTCATCTCCAACACAGCACTGAACAACACTGGGTGTTTCATGAGCTCGGGTCATGATCCTCACCCAGGATTTATCAATGTTAGAGAAACACTTTGCTTCCTGTTGAAACATGACAGTGAATATAGAATGAAAGAAAGGGAGGAAGGAAAAGAGAAGAGGGAAAAGGCACCTGCTTGCAGAACCAGCACCCAACAATCTCAACAGTAATCAACTCACTAGTAATCATGTCTTTTAGAAATACTTCAGCTTAGACAAAATTATTTCTGCTTACACAATAGAGCTTATTTTATACTTGGCTGTCAAGCCTACTATGTATTTTCTCTTACATTTCTAGAGAAAAAGACAGAAAACTCATTATATTTGAATTGAAGCTTCCAATCTGAAGAATTTTTTTCTCTAAAACTAAAGTTCATTTTAATTTGAAAAAACATGCAGAAAGTTTAAGATAAAGATTCCTAGATACTACTATGCTAGTAGTAAGTATTACTACACAAGGCTACTACTAGGCACAATGTTTTAATACATATTACCTAACAGCTTTACAATCTAGAAATCAAAAGATCAAACAGATCATATGATGTTATTGTTCTTTCTCACACACTGGCACTGCTTATCTAATTTCCTAGCAAGACCAGTTTTGTTAAATATTAAATAAAGTAAATTTATGTTACTGCATCAATTATGACATCACAGTTAAGTTTTATTCTTAAAACATTGATAAGCAAACTGAAAAAAGGCATGTCTAGAAACCTTTGGAAGCTGTCTTGCTATATCACCACCAATAAAAACAGCTTCTAAATAAATCCACAAATTCTGCACAGTCAGCCAGTTCTCAATTATATACATTGTGTTGGAAAGATAGTGCACCCATTTCTGAATCTGCGTCTTGAATGGTGTATTGTATCTACAATGGAAAAAAAAAAGAAAGAGAGACATTTCTTTATTTCAAGAAGAAAACAAGACTCTTGAAAAGTAGCATATAAGTCACAGGATGAGGACTAGTTTTTATGCTTAAAATTTTTCAAGTGAAAGTATAGAAACTTAATTCAGCTTGTTGGCAGCTCTAAATCCAATCAGTTCCAACTTGCTGCTGTGTACACAAGGTGTATAGCACAGCTCTGATCCAACAGAAGAGGGATGGGAGCAAGACTTCAATTCCACTCCAAGGTAAAGGGACTACTCAACATCTTGAAAGCTGTAAACTCACGGAGTTCCCGAACTCTCCTAAACTCCTGCTTTTGAGCATCTGCCTGATGATCAGGTTCTGTGTTCCTTATTTATCTGTGTCTTTTGGCATGTGAAACCAGATAAACTGAAGTTCACTTTAATTAGGACTTTCAGCACCTTTGCCACGAGGCAATGACTTATTGCAGGGGCAGAGTAGCAGTGCCTGTCACGCCCATAGCATGCCTGCCATAGCCAGGCAGTGTTCTCTCTTACGTCCCCACTTTCTTGCATCAATCAAACTTTTCAGCTGTTTATTCAAAAAATCAGAGCTGCAGCAACATGTTTTCAAAATTACATATTGAGGGGATAAACGAGATACAGTAAGAACTAGCCCATGAACAAGGACAAGCAAGTTCTTAGGTTTTATCTAGATGTTTCTTTACCTTCTTATCTATGATAGATCTGTCCACTAAAACAAATCCCTTTGCTAATATTTTTATCTCTCCCTCCATTCCCTCCCTCCCTTTCCTGTTACCTGCTATTCATGAGAGAACCAAGAATCATCAAACTGTCCTCCAGCGCAGCAATCGTTTCTGATGCACTGTCACCTCTTAGAAGAAGTTCCCCACGAGTTTTAAAGTTTGCAAAGACAAACATCTTGTTATCCCATTCAGCTATCACTTGTTTTAACTTCTGCTCAATGTCTCTCTCCTTCACAGCACTTATGCAGATATCCTTTTAAATAAAGAGGATGTCAAAACAAGATATGAATCCTTCAAGTCCCTGGTATACAAATCTAGCTCTTATTTCCTTTAACACTAAGTAACATTAGGCTCAGAAGCAAGTATTTAGTGGAAAGGTCTACAGATATACAAACACCATAGCTAATAATCTGTATACCACGTCACAATTTAATCAACTCTGGGGGAAATAAAATAATGACATAGTGAATACTTTTCATAAGTTTAATGTCACAAAGCAAGGTACCCTCACAAATGGCATGACTTAAAAAAAAATAAGTTGACACCACAATATATTTGTGTCATAATTTTACAAAAATCTGAAGTGATAGTCCACTTTTCTGTTCTTTTTACAGAAATGTTCTGATTTTCTTCTTGCTACTGATACTTCTATACTATACAAGCAGATTGTTGGTTTCATGTTTCCATATTTCTTCCTTCACAATACCTCTATTTCCTCTTTATATCTTAGTAATGGAGCTTCCATTATATTCCTCAGTTTGAATGTTTCACTCTCCACATCAAATCTGTGTTCAGTGAGATCCATAATCTGGTTCCAGTGCCGAGGCATCATTGCTTTACTTGACATGTTCTCAAGCAATGGGCAACACTCACTGAAGTCCTCTATGGTCTTCAGTAGGTCAAGAAAAGGCTGCCATTCCTTTACAGCACGAGGGAGTTTACGGCACCTACGTGGAGATAAAGCAAGCTTTTTCAAAGAGTTTAAAATATTCTTTCTTTAAAGTCACATTATATGGTTTTAACAGCAGAACACATACCTTCCAAATTCAGTTTACCTTTAATCTAGAGTTTCTCTATGTGCTTCTCCATGTGAGAAAATCTGTTTCCAGTTTATTTCAATAACTGATATCTAGGTAGGCACCCTACAGCTTCCCCTTAAGGAGTGTAGCTGCATAATTTTAATAACTCTGTGCAAGCGATCTTCAAAATCAGTTGAAATGTTCTAATCTCAATTTCATCTTTTGGTGAGACTGATGATATGCATTGCTCTGAGCTCTAGAAAAAAACTCTTCCCTAGGGTTTACGTCTTTAGTTTTTTGGATTCCTGGCTTGATGAAAAGTTCAGCTTCTATATATACAATATAACCCATTTTGTAGAAAAACTATTCATCAATTCACTAACTTGCCTTTGACATCTAGCAAAAAAAAAAAAAAAAATCTCTCATGTTTCTCAGGAACAAAAATACTACAATAAAAAGGTGAAACTTTCCTTCATGGGCAAAATAAATAGCAATTTTAACATATTATTTTAAAAGGTAGACAAGAATCTATCTAAAGAATAATAATGCTCAGCATTTAGAATCTAAATTTTTCTTGATTTTTATTACATTGTAAATGGATATTTTTTTCAATTTAAATTCACGTTTTTCATGCCTCACTAAATAAATACATGCTCATATATGATTATTGGTGCTAACCAATTAGAATCATAATCAAGAAGTACTTTAGGCAGCTTTAACACACCATCAGTTTCTTACCTGTTCTGAAATTCCATAAGTTCACTGTTAATTTTTTCAATGTCTAATTCCAACCAAAGAATATCATAGTAGCCACTGATTGTGTCAATGACACTGTTATATAGATTATAGAGTTTCTGCAACAGATTCAGTTGCTTCTTTATTTCAAGCAGGTGAGGACATCGAGTAACTGGCAAACCAAAAAGATCTTCTCCACCTGTACAGGTAATGTATTTCCGAAAGAGATTATCACATTGATTCTGAAAAAGAAAAAGAAAAACATTCAACAAAATAGCTAAATAATAATTAAAAAATTAAAAGTTAATAAAACCTACTAAATATTCAAGATCCAAAATTATTATTAAAGCTGAATTAGATTAAAATCTAGGAAAGAATAGAAAGCTATAGAGAGATAGTAACAGCTTACACTGTCAACAGTTTTGTCAACAATTTTCTTGAGAAAAGTAACTTTTAGCTAGCTTGGAGGCACATCTTTAGAAGCTGACAGGAAAACCATTTACTTCATGTGGCACAGTGACAGAACAATAAATGCTAAGACTGCACTTGAAAGCGGTGAATCATGACACACAAAGAAATAAAAAGGTGGATACGGCAAATTCTACCTCTCCAAGTATGCTGTGCAAATCTTATTGACTGTTGAAGAAAGAATTACTACCATTAAAGCAGAAAAGAAAAACATAATTTAATTGTCAATTGCAATATAACTTAGGGAACATAGTAGGAAGCAAAATGAATAGCAGTATGGGAAAAGCAGAAGCATTAAAAGTTGTTATTGCAGGAATAGATATTAATAATGGTACGAAGACAGACTTCAACCAAAAAAAAAAAAAAACAACAAAAAAAAAAACCCAAAACAAAAAAACAACAGTAATGAACAAATAGTCTATAGCCAAATACACTAAACTTGTGGGAAGGCTCTCATCAGAATATTGTATCTAGCAATCATTACTCATTATCTATGCAGCCTTCCTGTTAACTCCTAAAAAATTTGGATTTTAACAGAACTCCTTGCAAATGCATAGAAAAATTCCAACATAGCTTTCACTAAGACAAAACAGGCTTTGCCAAATCAGTAACCCTGTCTATTGATGAAAGTTCATTCAACTACTGAGATTCCTTCTCAGAGCCTTTATGTGTTAGCTCACTTGTACTAAGTTATGTTAGAATTAACAGCACCTGGAATATAGTAAGCCTGTCATTGGCTTCCTGAGGTGTTAAACCAAGTACCATTGGCCCATTCTAAAAGGAAAAAAAAAAAAATCAATAAATCAATTTAGAGGGTGAGAACAACCACAACTTATTTCTAATCAGAATTTTCCAAATGCTAACCTCAAACACTTTTGCAGCCTCCAGATCCCCTCCACAGATCAGATATCAACTAAACCAAAGGATGACAGTTAATCTACTAGAACAAACACTATTTTAAATGGATTTTAAAAATTCAAATAAGACAACTATTTGTATTTTTAATGCAGAAACTTTCAATTACACTGCAAAAGCTATGAAGTCATAGCTCATTTTTTGAGTAAAAGTCAGCATTACTTAAGATGATGCAAGATTAACTCACCTTCATTCATTCAAATGAAAAAGAATGTGAGAGCTTAAGTCATTTGTACATATAACAGAAAGAAGAGTTTTCTGATGCTAACATAATTTATCATTAATCCTAGTCTTCGCATTTGTTCCTGATAACTAGATGCTTTCCAAAAACCTTAAAGATCTCAATTCTTAATTTTTAGGAACTGATTACCAGCATTACTTACATCAGCCATGTACAAAACATTAAACAAACCTGCCCTGAACTGAAACCCAAACACCATCTTAACAAGAATAAACCTATTCAACAGTCAAGGCCCATCCCATTAATTAGTCAAATCCAAAAACCTTTCCATGTTCCCATCTCTCCTTAAGAATTTCTCTAATAGAATAAAATATAAACATTTGCCTGATCATAATCTGAGTAGAACTGTGCACAGTCTTCAGTAAAAGTCTTCACAGCACTAATAAACTCTCCTCTGAAGTTTGGTTGCAAAGCAACAAGCTCATCCTGCACTTCATTTGCACGGATTAGCAGATTTTCCCAAGTGTAGTTCAACGTGTCCACCTTCTCTGTCTCTTCCTTGGCAACAAGTAGATCATATTTGCTCAACATAGCATAGGATTCCTGCCAGAAATTTGGACCAAGATACATAAAATGGTAACTTCAATTAACTTTATAAACATATATGGAAAATATATATTTAAAATGTTAACATTTAAAATTTTTTCAGAACAGAGAATGATTTGTTGAAAAAGAAATTCTGGTCTTCTTGCATAGCCATTATCAAAATTGGGTAAACCAATACCAACCTGGAAGAAACTTCTGCATTTTTTTCTCAGAGCATTCATATCAGCTTGCATCACCAACATATGAACAGTCTACATGGTGAAAACCCTTAGTGATTTTTCACTAAAACACAAATTATATTGACTTTTTATACATTAGCACAGGGTAGGGTAGCAATAAACCTGTGGCAATTTCATTTGAAAATTTTTTAATGAAGTGGAATTATTTCCATTCATACTTTCCAGTTTGATCAAACTGTAGCCAAATTGCAAAAATGGAAACAAAACTGTCTACTGCAACACTGTGGAAAATATGCCAACCTCCCTTTCAGAACTGAAGCATCACTTCTTGTGCCTCAGGACTCAAGGCTCCTGCTTGCAGAATTGGAAACTTATAATGAAACTATGGGCAATCAGGAATCATGAACATGTCTTAGGAAGAAGAATTCTACTGAAAAATCAAAGGTGCATTTTGCTATATTATAGCATTCTTAAATAAATACTCTGGTCAGGAATGCAGAGAAACAGCTACCCTCTGTTTTTAAGCCTGCCTTTTGTCAGATGTTCAGTAAATGCATTCTATCACATTAACTTTTCTTTAGCAAGTCATCTACTTTTGTTTATTTTAATTTATACAGCTGATAAAAGCAATCAATCTCATGTAGTCTGCTTAATATTAGCTTTTTACTCCTCTTAAGGCTTAGCTAAAAAAAAACCAATTAGGAATCTTTTTGTGTTCCTTTTTGAACACAGATTTCTTCCACAAAGTATGAAAAGATTTCTTGCATTAAATACCTGCATTCTCATCTTCCTCTTGCCTACATCACTCAATTTCTACACTGTTCACTAAGCCTCACCTCAGCAATTTTACATTTGCCCAAATCAGAATTTCACACAAAAAGGTTTACAGAAACACAACAAGTCTGTCACTAAACATTCAACACATATTAAATCATACATTTTCAAAGTTCACAGTTAACCTTTAAGCCAGAAAATAACTTCTCTCTTGAAACATGCAACATTTCTACTAGGTACCTCAATGGGGCCAATTTGGGAGTCAATAGAGATCTGTAGTTCTCTGATCTCTTTTAAAGCTGACATGGTTATTCTGATGTCATCCAGGTCTGTGATGCTGCGATTTAATTTCTTGCCAGTTTCCTCTATAAAAGTCAAAATAGTTTCCATCTGTGTTCTGTACTTCTTATTGCAATGACACCCCAGCAAAGTCATCCAGGCTTTAGTTTCTGATCTAAGTGCTAGCTTCAGATCAGCTAAAAATATTAAACAATAAATAGATATCAGACATTGCAGACATTTGTTAAGATGCACTTTCAATCTTTTTAATTACATTTGATCTCTTCAGTGGCAGTTCTGGTTTTACGATCTAACCCTTCACATATAGAGATGATGAAATCACATGGGCACCTTGAAGGGGTTTAATTGTGAATTACTTGCAATTCACAATTGCTTTCCACCTGCTCTTCTCAGAATTTACCATCTTTTCTACTGGAAAGATCATCTAAAAACATTGAACAATTAATAGATATTAGAGATCATAGATTTTTTTTTTTTAGAATGTGCCTACTGGAAAGATGAAGTTGGTCTCCATACTTGTCATCTTGCTTATTTACCATTATACAAACTTCTGTCCTATACATCACTAATGAATTGATTAATATTCTCATCTAAAATATTTTCAAAAATTAATCTTTAAAAAAAATAACATGAGGAGGAAATTTGGAGTCTAATTTTGAAAGCTGAAGAAGCAAAGTTTGATCATAGCATTGGTGGAATTGTTAGATAGAAAGGGGTTCAGCCGTCTCACTGCATGCAATTGGGCAAGGAGAAAAGTAACAAACTTATCATCTTACTCCCATGAAATATGTACCCTGGGAATCAGTGACAGAAGGATGGGCAAACATCTACCATCCAACCCATAAGTGAGCAGGCATATCCAGGTGTGGCAATAAACTCCAGCTGAGCCTCACAGATATTCTTGTGTTAGTATTTTCTTTGCAGCATTTACAGCCAGAACAGCAAACAGCCCTTCTCTCTCTCTTTCTCCTTTCCATTTTAATCTATCTCACCCATCCAAAACTGCCACATCTCTCCTTCCTACTGGAGTCAGAAAGTACATGTCTCTGGAGAGTAGATGAACTCTACCAGTGTACAGTGCAATAGCTCCCACGCAGATGTATTCAGGCTCAGAATTAATTTTCAGGTCCAGGTCTTGGAAATGCAGAATTTCAGATTCAAACTCATAGAGTAATGGGTTTCCCACCATGAATTTATCAATGGTTTCCTCCTTGTCTCTCTGCCATATATGGTGGTAACAATTAAACCTCTCCAAAGCTGTAAGAACTTCCTGAAAGACATTTACAAGTTCAAAGGAAGATTCTCAGCATCATGTATATAAGCATGCATATAATTTCTTAGCAGCCGCTCATTAGAGTACTCTACAAACTCCATCATGGAGCAGGTTGAAGCACCTCATGAAATAAAAGGTTGCTGGTAAATTTATGCTAAAGCATAAGTTCCATTACTGATCACGTTATGCAAGAAACCCTATGTTCATCACATCTAATTTGTCAGACTAGTTAAAACATTTGCCAATTAAGTGAATCTTCAGTCAATAAAATAATTGGAATTAGTGGGAAGTAAAGTTTAAAACTAGGATACAGTACACTTGTCCTTCCCTGCCATTTCTTCGGCTAGAAACTGAAACCTGAGCTCCAGGGCCCAACATAAAAAGAAAAATTCATTCTGAAATAATGAAGCTATGAGACAATTTTTTTTAACATTAATTTCTACACTCAATTCAGGTCTCTTTGATTGGAATATAATTTAATTAGTGTGAAAGAGAATTATTCTTTTGGCTCTCAGGAGCTCAGAAAAATGTGAGAAAGTTAAAGTTTCTCCAAAGCTGTAAGAACTTTGGAGTAAACCAAATTAAATTCCTATAGATAAAACATGTTTCATTATTCATCACTGCATCTAATTAAACAAGTAAATGAGAGATGAGTGCTATGAGAAATAATCCACATCATGACTTACAATAAATATAGTACATGCAAGCATTTAACGCTGGCCAAATTATAAAAGGTTACAATATGACAAAATATCATACATCAAAATACCATGATAACTATCCACCATTATCAACTACTCAGCAGCAGCCTGGTAGTTATGCTTTAGTACCACTGAAGTTACTATGCCTTGAGTCGAAGATTTGCACATGGCAAGATATAAAAGATTGGACCAGCCCCAGAAGAAACTGATGCAGAGCTCCCTAAAGACATACAGTTTACTAAGAGTGCATAGAATAAGAACAAGGCAAAGAAGTTATGCATATCCTTTAAGATACATCCTAACCTACACAAGCGAATCCTATGCAGGATTTTACAAATGCCAATCTGATAGCAAATTTTCCTCTAAAAACCTTCATAACCTCTTTAATGTGGCAGAAATCATACTGGCTTCATTAGCTACACACAACACAGCTACACTTAAGAGTTTTTTATGATGTTTTAATTTATGCAATATTCAAAACCCCAAGTCTTGGAGCAGAGTACATCTAATGCATGTTACACTTTTAAAGCATATTTGCAAATTTTCAGCCAAATGTTTTCCTTCCACCATCCAAAATTTTTTCATTATTACATTTAATCACAGCTTTAAACGCCTACCCTTATTACCCAAGGATATTAAAAGCAATACATTAATATCCCTCAGATAGTGATATCAAATTACCATCTCAATTGTCTTACCCCTTTTGTAGAATTGATGGCACTGCTGAGTAAAGATACTAATTTAATAATTTCTTTGTTCCCTGAAACATTCTTGAAGTAGCTCTGGCTTTGCACTGCATCAGATGAACTGAGTGATGCTGTATCTGATACACTATCTATAAAATAAGATTCAAATATAGAAGCAGGCTTAGGGCAGACATACTGGTTAGGAGAAGTAAATTCCTATTGACAAAACAGAATGACATTTTATCAATAAGCATGCACTTTAAAGTTAGGTGTTCCTAAAGGCAACTAGAAGTTAAGGAAGCCAACAAATTCATAAAAATTTTTGTAAAATCGTTCCATCCAGGTACCCTGTCAAATTTGGAACAAGGTCCACACCAATCTTTCAAACAGATTATTTCTTCTCTTCTCCCTCAAGGTTTATTCTGTATGCTTCACCTAAGTGATTTATTTATATTATCAGCATTTGCTTACTTATATATTAGCACTAAGCATTTTTATTTTCTGAAATACCCGACAATTGACACTTTGAAATACAAATTAACATTAACTCTGAGAAGATGGCCATAACCAGTCCCCAGAAAAGACATCATCATTTTTTATTTCATCTCTTGCAAGCAAAATTCTTAGTTTTGAAAGATTAATTTAACTTCTTAACCAGTTCGAGTATTCCTGTCTTACTTTTTAGGTGCATAAGAGAGAGCTAAGCTAAAAAGTCTCAAATATAATTTTTTTAGTATCTCAAGTACAATGTAGAACAATTAACTCCGTTTGATTTTAAACTATTTCAGAAAAGAAAAACCCAATCAAAGATACCATCTTAAATTTTCTTGAACTAATGACTTCAACAACTTAATGTCTGGTCACGAAACAGAATAATGAAAATCCTTTTAGAAATTCTAATCTATTCCATCATTTACACAATCCTCTCTACACCAATATTACAATTTACACAGATGTTTTTATTCACTACCAGGTACTGCGAAAGTTCAACTTACCCTTCTCAAAGGGTAAGCACAAGTTCTAACATGCCATTTGAACATGCCAAATTACAAACCACACTGGATAATCATGAAAGATTATTCTGTAGCAAAATGACTATAATTGTAAACATTATATATATTATAACCCAAAGCATTAAAACTCTTCAAGAAGCCCAAAAAAAAAATCCCCTTACTCAAATCCACAGAACAACAAATGGAAAACCTGGTTTCTAACAAGAGATTTCTTCTCTGAAGCAATTTAAAATCTATGAGGTTGTTTAAAATCTATCAAGTCTACTGGTTTTGGTGTATTTTGTAATTAATATCTTCCAATACTTTCTGTATAAATCAGATTTACCTAATACTCAAATTTACTGATGTCAGAGTTTATCATTACCATGGAAGTTTTTCTTTCCAGTCTCTTTCATTCCATCATCAGAATCACTGTCTCTGCTCCCAGTGTGCAACAGAAAAATTTTTCTCTCTAACAGTTTCTCCTGAAGAGAGAATAATATTTATTTTTCATTTGCAGCAGTTTTGCACCATTATTTCTAAGTAAGGCTGTTAAAGACACCAACCTTGGATATTCTCTCCTTACTCCAATGTCGAACTCCTTTCATTACTTTCACAATACTATCTACAGCTTTATTAAGCGTCTGCTGTACCTCATCCAAAGAGGGTGTCATGATGACATTAGGTATAGATAGGTTAATATTAGTCCTAATTATAGGATAAGCAACTTTTTTCTCCTTAGACATACTGTGATTTTCTAAATAAAAGACAAAAACAAAACAAAAAGGCTGTTCATATTTTTTTTGAGACATCAAACTAGGCATTGTTTTGATATAAACCAACAAACATATCTCCTAATGTAAAGTATTGAGTGTAACTTCTGAAGGGAAAAAGAATTCCTGAAGTACGGCTAACCCCTACAGCAGCACAAAAGAAAAGTAAGTGCAAAGCTATTTTTCCCATGAAGCTTCTCTTCAACTTTCTCTGTGCAGCTAAACTCTGTTTAGCACAAATTTTGTTATCTGGCTGGTACTCCCAGTCAGCATATTAAATTGGGCACAGAACCTCCTTAGAGTCTCATAGTATTGTATGCCTTATAAACTACAGAGACCAAAGACAACTGACCTTATTTTTGTTTCTTAAAGGCATGCAACAATAAAACGCTTCAAAAAAGTGTTCCATCACCATGTATGGAAATGTCTGAAGGCAATTAGTAAGAGAAAAAATACACCTCTATTTTTTTTTCATACGGTTTTATATAAAAGGCAAGGGCAAAGAGATCTTGTCAAGTTATCAAGGTCTTAACTTGATAACTAAACATGTTAATTTTTAACATAACTTGTTAAAACTTTTAACAAGTTATCAAGGTCTTGTAGAAACTTATCTATCAAGTCTTGCTCCAACTATAATATTGGCTTCAGAACAGTACAGTGAGCCTAGAGAAAGCATTGTACTGTCACAAGAAAAGAAAACCTTTGGAAATAGACAATGCTATTGATTGCAACTTAACAAGACAGCTTAATCAAAATCCCTTTGTTTTCCCCTCTTTTACATTTGTGAGTCTTATTTATACAGTTACGAGACATTACATTGATATTTTTCTTTATATAGCCTAAAGACCAATGTACTACAATGTAGCCACCTAAGAAGTTGATGGTGGAAGATGCATGAATGCGCTTGCGGATAGTCTCCAGAGTGTGTCGAGTGACTTTCAAAAGGGCATCAATGTTACGATCATTGAAGTAAGAAAGCAGTTCATTGGCTTCTTCCTCTAACTTTTCCAAATCCATTCTCTTCCTCTTTGCTGCAGGAGATAGGCCAGCCCACATTTGACTGGAATTTTGAGAAGATGTCAAGCTTTTTGATCTTCTTTCCTCTTCTTTTGCTAAAACATCATAAATCCAGTTAGTTAAATATACATAAGGAACTTGAAAATACCATCATGCAACACTTCCACAGGTGTCTGAAATAATTTTAAGGAAGGGCAGAATTACTCAATTGTAATCTGCACCCCAGTGTAACAGGCTTATTCCTATCTGCCTTCTTATTCAGTACAAACTGGCATGATCATCATCAAAATTTAAATATTATTTCTTATTTTCTTTCTCTGGGAAGTCCAGCAATTAACCAAGGCTACTAAGTACTTCTATGGCATGAACCTTTCAACATCCAAGTTAGATAAATAATACTGACCTATTTTGTAGATGATAAATTATTGTTACATTATTCATTATCCAGGCAAATTCAAAGTCTTTAGACTTTAGATGCTAATCAGTACTTCAGTCACCTAAGCTATAATGTCCCCAAACATAAATTATCAGCACGAAAAAAAAGAAACACCAAGGAATACAGTACAATCTTCTTACCTGTATTCTTGTCCCTTTTTTCACCACTGGGTACAATTGACTTCTCATCTTTACTGAATTGTTCCTTGGTGTCAAGTAACATGTTTATCAGATCATTAACAGCGGCTTCCACCAGTGAGCTTTTCAAGTGTAAAGTTCCAGATCCTTTTATGCAGAGCTCCTGTTAGCAAACCAAAACAATATGCTCTTATTGTCACAATTCTCATGTCAATTTCAAAGTCATATCAGCCTTTATTAACACAAATGTCAAAGCCTAAGATTTGTGAAAAATCAGATCTATATATAACATTAATTTCAAATTGGTTTGTTCCAAAATACATGATCAACAATAGATCAACAAGGCATCATAAATTACTTTCAGCATTGCTTTGTCTTCTTTCTCAAATCACATGATTCATTAGCTAATACCATGAATCAATGTTTATAATGCCTAGTTTCACTAAAAGAGTCCCAAAAGCAAGGGCTTCTTCATTTTCTTAACTTTCCAATGTAGAGATGGGAGAGTCAACACTTCTTTTAATCATTGCTGGTTTACATTAATTGACTGTGCCATAATGAGTATTAGCCAACCATTTACAGTTAAAAAGAAGATAAAAGCTATACAAGATATATTTATTATTAAAATAAACACTAAAATTATAAACTGGAGAGAGAAGAAATCAAAGAATGAGATTAAATAAAATTCAGAAATTTATTACAGTACTGTGCATCTTTTTTCTCCAATACTTATAATAAAATCAATCAAGTATGCCTCAGCTAACTATAATTTTTACCTGCAATTGCCTTTTATTTTTTTACTTCTTTGGTATTTTATATTTCACTCAGCTTAAACAAACATGACTATCTTTGTTTAATTAAAAATCAATAATTGGAAATATTCAGCCATTTTTAAATTTTAAGATAATCTTTGGCCTTCCTAATGGTTTTGTTGAGTTGAGAGAAAAGGCAGATGTGACTTGCAATATCACAGCAACACTAAACAAAGTACTCTGGGATTTTCCCACTGGGTATTTATTTTTGTTGCAGCAATTTCCTTAGAAATTTAAAGACACTTGCTAGGTGACAGAAGTTTTTTCTAGTCTCCTCTAAATAAAAATTACAATAATCTTACAAACTGTTACTATTTTTATTGTACCTATAACTGGGGTTCTTATACCACTTACTTTGCTATCTCAACTCAAATGGCCATTGTTATTATCATGTAGCAGTTTAACTTTTCAAGTTACCTTCCTGTGCAGAGCTGTTTTTGTGCTCACTCACATATTTTTGCCTTCGTGAATATACATTTTAGTACCTGCCCTATCAGGAAGGTAGCAGCAGGATCAAGAAAAACAACTATGGATTGTGAGGCTTACAAACTGCTACTCATTCCATATATTATTTTAAATTTGACTGTATTTAACAACACGGTGAGTTGTTACAATGGCCAAAATAGAAAAGGTCAGAGAGTTAAAAACACTGAGATAATCAAAAATTTAATTCGTAATAGCTATTCCTACAAGAGAAAAGGAATGGGGATTATCTATTTGATTTTCTACAGTCTTTATCAAACCAAATTTTATTTCAGGAGAAAATACGTTAGACATTACAACCTGAAATGCAATACCTTACTATTGCCTCACAAAATTATTCTGACATATTTATGACCTTAATCAGCTTTCTAACCAGCTGATCTAATAAGTTTTCATGTTTATAGTTAATTACCCTCAACATAAAGTCTTTTGATGTGGTGAAGGAAGGGTGTTTTCTCAGAACACCTTCACCCAAGTACTTCTGCATATATTTTTCACATCCCATTACCAACTCAGGAGAGTTTGAGATACTCATTACACAATACTTTCCATAGTATTTACTCTCCTCAGGCAATTGCTGGAGAATTCCCTTATATAAACAGGAATAATGAAAAAAAATACTATCATAGAGGCAAAATTTTTGAGTACATGAAAGCATAAAAGAAATATCATACACTATCTGGCTTGATATTAATAATGAATAGAAAATAACATCTCAGCTCAGCTCTCTTTGCATTTGGCATTTCTGTTCCTTTTTACTATCCTAGCCAAGCAAGTGGGGATTTCCATCGTATCCCATGCATGCTTCATTAATTCTGCATTCAGAATTTTTTATCTCATAAAAAAGAAAAATATCTAAACTCAAAGTCATCTATCTCTTCTTCATGAAACTTTTATCTACTAACCTTAGTCTTCTGAAGAAATTCCTCACAGCTCTGTGGCTCATCTTCTGGCAACATACAGAGTGTCACTCTACTCATTTCTTGAAGGACAGCATCAATACGAAATTCAACCAAGTCATTCACTCGATCAAGCAATAACTCCAGCCCAGCTTTTGAAGAAAACAGAAGATTCAAGAAAAGCTTAAAAGTTTGAATTAATAGCCTTTGCAAAGTCCCCCAGTGTTGTTTTACCTCAACAAATTATCATTATCAACTGTATATGAATTCTGCACCTTAACCAATTTACTTCAAACATCTAAACTTTTATGGCAAGCTTCACCACAAGAATCATAATTATCTTTTTGCATAATAAATACTTACCTAGCATATGCTATCTACATGCTAAAAAATAAGTATAATATTGTAGAATATAAACTATTATACAAATAAATATTGTATAGCTTTTTATTTTAAAAATAGTATCTATTATATATAAGATTAACTTAAAGGATATGTATTTCAAACATGAAGACATTAACATTTAATTGAGGGCCAACAACATTTCATCTTCTCCTATAGCTTGAACTAGTTACAACTTGGAGAATCTACTAGCAACAGTAAATTTCAGCAAATAAAAACTCTATGCTTCAAACAAATGTTAGAGGCCAAACAATAGTTAACAGAAAACAATCACTAGAATTTTAAAAGTTTAATAGCAATCTGCTCTCAATGTTGAAGCTGAAATAGAAGCAAATTACTTTTATTATTCAAAATTAAATTAAGTATAATGTCAGGCTGGCATCCAAAATGCACTTTAATCTGCCATTTCAACTGAAGAAAATATTCACTATAACTACCTATGCAATTTCAAGAAACAAATCTGTTTGCTGTATTAATTAAGCTGAAGAAAAAGGAATTTGGTATCTTCAGGTAAAAAACACATCTCGGTGCAACCTTGTGATAATCTTTTGAAAACACTACAAGCTCATCTGTTTTCTAAAGCTGTTGTCCAAGATATGTGTGCTTTTAAAAAAATATTAATATGGAATGCTATTGAGCAATGACAGTGCCAACTGAGTCAGGATTTTATTCCTTGAGAAGTTGTTTTGTACATTATAGAAACAAAAAAGCAGGACTAGGAAAAGTCTGGAACCTAGGAACTCTTTTAAAAAGTAGCTATCGTTCTTTAAATTCAGAATACACTGGGCATTTTGCACTATATTTTATGTTTGGTGTAATCCCAGGTGCCTAACATATACAGTAGTAAAAATTTGATGAACATAAAAGACAAAAAGAAGGTGGTGTTATAAAACAAATGTTTAATAGAATACAGGACAGGTGAAAATTCTGATATCTTTTATATATAAATCAGTTAAGTGCAAATCATGTAAAGAACTGTAATCTTATATTATAATTTGCATATGTATAGAACAAATAACCATAAATTAATGGAAGGAGGCAAGTAACCTACCTAGCTTAGAAAAAACTGTATTAATGTATTTCTCAATATTCAGGGATGTCCAGTTCAGCAACATTAGACCTGGCTGGATAGCATTATCTACCTCTACTAATTGAGGAGCTATGAGTTGTTCAAAAGGGTGTTGTATTTTCAGTTTAATTCTTTTGTATTCTGCCAACATCACCTGAAATAATGAAAATATTAGTTTATATGCACTCATTGAACCTCTTCATGCGCACACATTTATTACCTAAACTAAGAAAATTCATCTGTATGCATATTATTGAAATTTTTAAGAAGTTATAATTAATTGCTTGGGAAAGGTTTTCATTATTTTTGGCAGAAGTTCACTATTTGCTGCTCTTTATATCTCTATATATATTTGTTGCTCTATGTGAAGCACTGCTTCACACAGAAATCAATCTTTGATTGCACTGGGGCTGTGATGGAGTTAATTTCTTTTTCAATGTCTCCCATGATGCCACGTTTTAGATTTGTGACCACAACTGTGTTACTAACACACTGATATTTTGGGTATTGCTAAACAGTGCTCGTACAGCATTGAGTCCTTTTCTGCTTCTCACACCACTCTGCTGGTGACTGGGGACACACAAGATGCTGGGAAAGAATGTAGCCAGGACCCCAACTGATTATTGGGATCCCATACCTACGATATCATGCTTAAAAATGAAAGTTGGGAGGAGAAGGAGGGAGGGGGACACTCAGAGTTATGGTGTTTGTCTTCCCAAGTAGCTGTGATACTGCCTAGTTTTACCAGATTAATTCCTTCTTTTTTTCCCTTGTGCGTGCACTTCTTGCCTTCCCTATTAAAATGCCTTTATCTCAACTCACATGTTTTATACTTTAACCGTCAGATTATCTCCCCCATTCCAAGGAGGGAAGTAAGGGAGCAACGGTGGGACATTTGGTTGCCTACTGGATTTAAAACACATAACAGAAAAATCTCGCAAATTTCAGTTGGTAAACGAGTGTTACAGAAGACAAAAGGCTCAAGGAGAAAAATACATCTAGGTGAATTTTCCAGCAATTCTAATAAGATCAGCCTTACCAGAACTATATTATACTATTTTCTTTCTAATGCCTCTTTAACTTGCTGATCTAGTTTCACATGTTCAGCAATAAGATTATGACTTAAAGTCATAAAGACTCTATGATTTATGGGTTTTTTTCATTTCAAAGTAGTCCTTTAAAGCTATAGGTTTCTGGACATCTATTTTTGAATTCCCATCTTGAGTCATTGGGAATCTTGTCTGTTCATAGGCCGATAAAATGATCTAAAAGACTTAAAAGACAAGAGAAAGGGAAGTTTCAACTTCTCTTTTTAAACTGTTTCACAGACACGCGTGTAAAACACCAGTGCCAGAAAAAAAATAAAAGCTGCTACTTGCTGCATGCTTTATACTTTTTAAAAGCAGACCACCTGTTCCTCCCTTCCAGGTATCCTGTCAAAACAAATGCTGTCCAGTGTTGACTTCATAATTGGATGAGAGATTAATTGCTTATCATTTAGAAAGCAAGCAACAACACAGGACATTTTGTAATCCTTTCCTCCCCATTCTCATCTCTGTTCCAGACCCTGCAGAGCTTTCCCAAACACATGCATCTGCAAAGTAACTTCCCAGAAAATATAAAGCCAAGAAAATGTTTTAATGTCATACAAATAAGAAAACAGATTTGCAAATGTTTTTTTGGTACATAATCGTTGATTTTCATTTATCCTCTTCCATATGCACAGAACACAGGCATCTTAATGTACAGTACATATACATAAAATAACTAATGTAAACCCACGTGCAAATTGTTGACAATCTTCTTGTACCAGTCTCTCTGCTGTTGAATAACACTTGCAAATGGTGGAATTTCAAGGCACATATGAGCCATGCAATCTGTTTCTCTGATTAAAGTTAATATTTGAGGATCAAAATTCACAAATAACTCTCCTGTTTCTGAAGCTTTTACCAAGAGAGTTGTTTGAAGTCCTCTTCTAGTTAACTCAATCTGCAGGAAATAAAGTCATCATTCCAATCAGACAAGCCACTACAATAAAATATTTTGGTTTGCATATAAATATCACTTTTGCAGATAGTTAAATCAGGCACTGCTGACAAAGATTGATACGTTATATGAATTCAAAACCAGAATTTATTAACACAATGTGTATGAACCCAAATGCTTAATAACCAAACGGCTATTTATCTAACAGATATTCTTCTGTTGAGTCTTGGATGTTATAAGCTGCATTTCACAGTCCAAAATCAAATCAGAGCCATAGATTTTCTCGTTTCAACCAAGAAAATCTTAACACTCATGTCCTTAGAACTTAATGCATATTCTGCAATAAGGCTGCAGAATTATTCTTGGATAACCTCTTCACATATCTTTTGAATATACTTATCCCCATTTCTCCTTTCACTTGTTTTCCAGTAACTAATAGATATACCAATCTTAATGATACTGACAATTATATCCAACATTTAGGCAAATCCGTTAAAATACTAAAATTAATGTTTATTATAGATTTTTTTTTTTAGTCGTAAAAGCAAAGCATAATCGCACAATTGGTTTACCTGCCTTATTTAAATATTAGAGGACCATTTGTTCTCTATGTGACTAGAAGGGACAGCATTCCTTAGAGCACCACACACTGAAAATGTAGCTGACACCAAAAAGCAATCCTGCCTTAGGCAGGCAAAGTTTTCCTACATTAAAAACTTTGCTGCTATTCTTATTTTCCAGTTGTCTTTGGTTGGTGTAACTTTATTGTTCTTTATTTGCTCCTCAAATTTCATGTATCACATTATATTGAGATGGAGCTTATTTCTAGGCCATAGTTTCAGAACTCATTGATATCTTTCAGTGCACTTTTTACTTTTTCTATGGAACACAGAAAATTTGCACCACCTTTCAATGTCTAAAATATAGTGGAGCATACTGCTTGCTTCAGCAATATCATGTACTATCAAGACATTTTTCACAGCATTTTTCAATAAATAATCTAATCCATTTTTGTCAATGAAGATGTCATGCTCTATCCACTATCATCAATCTTCAAAAAAAAAGAAAAAAGCTGGTTTTTTTCTGTAAAGTTCAACAGCAAATCTTACTTTACTTATTTTTGAGCTTCATACTCATTATTCCCACTCTCAAGTCTTCCTCCCCTGCCTATGTTTTCTTCTCATGCAGTTTTCATTGTTAAGGTAACAGAAAATGTCAGTGGAAATAAGGGGTGCATTGAAGGCACAAATCTTACATTGCCATATAATTATGATAACTTCTACACTTCCAGGTAATTTATTATTTTTAATATGTCCAAGCTGAACATCATTTGCAAAACCAAACCAAACCAAACCAAAACAAACAAACAAACAACCCCCCCCCCAAAAAAAAAACCACCCCTCTTTTTGCTATTAAAAAAAAAAAAAAACTGGAATAATAATCTGGATAATAACCACCCAGTAACAAGTACAAAAAATAGGGGCAAAAATGTTCGGAACTCTCAGAAAGTGACACTAAGCTTAACATTTACATTTTACAGAAGAATAAAAAGCAGCAGAAACTGAGCCCTATCTGTGTACCATTTGTATTCCCCACAGGACACTTGCCACTCTCACGTTTTTTTCTTTTGTTTGGGAGTACAGCAGGAGCTCTACCTTGTGTTCTATGACACTCATGTCCACACCCGTGTGCGCTCTTCCGGCCTGAAAGAAAAGACTACGGAGCAGTAGTCACATTTTTTTGCCGTACCTGGTAGACTAACACGTGTATGTTAAAGTGAACATACTTTTCGTGTCTTTTCAATTCATGTGTCTATGTTTCAAACTTGAAATTCTGTTCAAATCCCCCTCCCTTTGTTCCCACCTAATGAGCATAAAGTTGGAACAGGCTCAGGAAGTTTATATAGCTGACAAGTGTGATTTGACTGCTATAGGAGAAAACAGACAGGTAACAACAGATCAGTACAGATTAGTACAGATCAGAATCAGAACTCAGATTATTCGGACCTCATAAAGGAATGCATCACTTCAGGGGAGATGCCTGGGATATTATAGTTATTTCAGAAAAGATGAAATGCAAATGTACTTGACTGCTCCATCAAGGCACAGTACATGTCAGAAAATCTGATCACTATATCATCTCATCAAAGATGCAACCCCACAGGAATCATACATTCTCCTTAGTCTTTACAGATGAGATGAGGCAGTGAAAACTATCATCAGTTTACTTTGAGTGATGCAGGTATCCAGCTCAGTACCGGAATCAAAAAAGAAACTGAGTCCAAGAGAGAAACACTAAACAAATGCAGAAGGCTTCCTGAAGCATTACAATTCATTACATAAAATATGAGGGATATGCACCAGCTCTCTGTGAAGAGCACATGAAAGCATATGAACTTCCTATGTTAGCAGAATAAGCATTAAAATTAAATACCTTTCTAAGTACAATAACAGTCTTCATTACTGCCGGGAAGCAGAAACAACTATGTGCAGGTCAAGGGTGCTGATTTTGGATATGATGTACCTGAACCATAATGTATAATGAAGCAATTGAAGTACTTTGAAAGAATTGAAAGCATTGAGGTACTACTGTTCAGGTTTCTTGATTCCCAAGTTGCACTCAACTCCAGATTAATTATCAATAATATATATTCAGCACTAGGTCTCAATCCAGCCTATTTTATGTACTCTAATATTGCAATCATTTCTCCTGGTTTACTATACCAAATTGACACAAAAAATTCCCACTTACAGTATCAGACAATCTAATCTGGTGACTCTTCACCACATCTGTCAAATCTGGTAACATTTCACACTGCATGTCAAATGCAAGAGTGAAAATGGACGGATAAGGAAAACCTAATATATTTAGACTAGAGAAAAAGCAACTGGTACCTCTGGTCCCAGATATGGTCTAAGACTACCTTTGAGAAGATTGGTATTTATCAGCACCAGAAATTTCCACAGTGTACAAAAGCTATGCCTGAGTTCCAAAAACAACAGGGAAATGCATTGACAGGTATCCAACTACCTTCAAAACCACAATCTGGAGATTCTGATCCTTCTTTTTCAGCTTTGTAAGGCTGAGGTAATTTTTTCTATAACATGCTCTTTGACAAGGCAACAAAGAAACTGGAGGTAAAAAATATGCCAAAACAATAGTAGAAACTTGCAGAGTTTTCAAGCCTTTAAAGTAGACCCTGAAGTCCCTTTATAGCTGATAATATAAAGGTAGTCAGAGGCTCTATGTACAAAACCCAAGAGGGTAAAATTAGTCAAATGAGATTTAGAATTTAAAGTAAACCATGTTCTCTGAATAATATTCAGGCTACAAAGTGTTCTGCCTGTAAGGCCCCAAACAACTCATTCAGCAAGACACATAAAAAGGGCTTATGGTTGTTCATGTACTCAGAGTTACACACATGGGAGAAACACCGATCAGATAGTCTCAAGAGATCAAAACAACAAAAAGCACTTTACTGGTAACTTTAGACGACCATAGAACTTTGGTAAAAGGTTTAGTACAATAATCAGTCAACATAAAACACTTCTTAAAACATTAACTTGGCCCATGCAACTTCGCAAACTCTAAGCCCACTTCATTTTAAGTTAAGCCAAAAATTCCAAGAAGAGGGAATTAGAAGAAGAAAGATCAAGAAAGACAGAAAATACACAGAATAGTACATATATAGCCATTAATTCCTAGGTTCCAGCAGTGTTCAGAGAGAAATTCCATGAGAAGGTAGTGTCAAGATATACCTTTGGCCTTCCTAGGCCCTCCCCCTGGCTGGGATTTCCAGTCATTTGGCCACTCAGGAGCTGGGTTAGGGGCTCCAGAGGTGGACATGGACCAGTGCTTCTGGTGTGCCAGGGATTGGTAGCCACTGCAGGGCTGGGACACAGGCTCTAGGGGTGAGGTACACTGCCTTGCCAGGGCAAGCCCCCACCTGCACCTTCCCCCACACACATGTGTCCTAAAATTGTCAATAGGAAATTAAATTACTTTGTACTGGTTCTGATTGGGTTAATCTTCTCTGTCAGCATTTAATTTTCTTCACAGCAGCTTATGTGGTATCATCAGATTTGTTATCAAAACAAGGCTGATAATGCACTGACGTTTGAGTTGAGCAGTGTTTTCACAGCATCAAGGCCTTCTCTTGTTCTCACTCTGTCCACATAGGGAATAGATTGGGGGTTGGGAGTGGGGATGAAGGGTGCAAAGGAGGCTGTGAGGGGACAAAACCAGGCAGATGTCATGAAATAACAAAAGGATGCTACAAAATAAGCAAAGGGATATTTCTTGCCATATGACATCATTCTCAGCAATAAAAAGGGAAAGACAGAGGTTTGAATGTGTTAGCCACCATCTGCTCTGGAATTGGTTAGACATTGTTTGCCCCATGGGAGAGGGTGAGAAATTGCCTCTGCAGGCAATTTCTTTACCCTTTCTTTCTCCACTTCTACTTCACTAAGTAAGCAACTTATCTTAACCCACAAGTTTTCTTGCTTTTGCTTTTCCTTTTCTCTTCCCTGTCTCACTGGGGGTGCATGGGGGGAAGCAAATGAGCATTTGTGTGGTGCTTAGCTGCCTATTAGGATTAACCCACAAGGGGCTCAAAGCCCACTTGTGCACTGAGTATGCTATCATCTGTTCAGACTGGATGCTTTTTACATGTATATTTACAGAGTGTACCCATAGATTACCACTCAAAATAAAATTCATATTGTCCAGAGCAGAGATAACCTCTGTGTCTTGACAGAACTCAGGCCTGGTTCAGGGGTTCCATGTGGTGGAAAAGTCTCTCCTCCAACCCGTGGAAGGAGGAAGGACAGGACCAGCCAAAAATCACCTCCATCTTAAAACTTCTGACCCCCATGTACAAAGTAAAAACCCCCCTGTACGATGTTAAAACCCCCCTGTACAACAGTAAAAAATTCTACCCTCTACTTTGTAACTACTTCTACTATAATATCTAAACTTTTGTGACTTCTTGTTTTTCCTGCAAAGTTGGTAAATCATTCCATGGCTCAAACTCAAAATCACAGCTGTTTCCAGCTGCCTGCCAGGGTCTCAAATGCTTCTGACCGGGGCCTGGATCCTCCAAAAATGTCTGAGGGACATTTTGAGTTCCAACAGTGTCTGTTTTCACTTTTGGCCAACCAGCTGACAAACTTCTCTCCCCAGACATTATCTTGCATCTGTTGAAAGAATGTGGCAGAAACAGAGGGGCAGCTAAACTTACCACCAGATATTAATTATATGGGGTTTTTTAACTTCTTAGTTATAATGAAAGGTCTTTCAGTTCTTCCTAAAATCGGCTACAGATGCTACAGGCCCTATTTTTTTAACAGGAACACTTTCTCATAAAACAACTTTTTTTTAGTTCATCCCTCACTTGAGAGTCATCATAAGTTAGGTTAAGCATACATGCTGCTACTAACCAGGGATAACACCATTTTTTATTTTTTTCTTTAAGGAATATCTTAATCAAAATCAGCTGGTTTACCTGCTGAAGCCATTCCCTGTGGTAGAACAGCTCAAATTTCACAAGAACTTTTGCTACTTTGTTGTAATTGCGGATTATGCTCTTGCCATCTGGTGTTTGTAGAACTGCTGGATGTCTCTGGAAAGTCACCATGGGCTCCTTGATCCTATGGAATAGGTGACGTGCCCACAAGATCTTGCCAGCTATTGGGGGCATATTACGAGCCAGTGGAGGGTCCTTCTTGTGCCTAGTGTAGATCTTACAGACAGTTTCTATGTCATGGCCATAGTTTTGAAATATTTTCTGATACTTTTCATCAATGCCAAGATTTGGGATTTGCAATCTGCTTAGAAAAATAATAATAATTAAAAAACTCCTTCAACACTTCTGAAATCCTCCTAATGCATTGTTGGAAAACAGTTGTTCCAGATTCCCTTGCATGCTTTAGAAAATAACTAATTTGGCAGCAGAATTTTCAGCTTGAACAAATGTTGTCACAACCTGATTCCAAAAAACAAAGATTTAGACCAGATGATAAAAGTTTCCAAGTAAGCCTACACATTTTCTGTTTCGTCACTGTTTTCAAACACTGGGCTGAAATTATATGCAGCAAACTGTAACCAATTCACCACTAGCTGTCTATTCTATTAAACAGATTATAATAAAAAAACGGACAGAATAAAGTGTAAGGCTGTTTTGCAACAATGTTAATTTAGAAAGACAAATTTCACTGTTTCTTAATGAAAGTATTTTATTCTCTTCTAACTGCATTGTGGTAACAAATTAATGTCATTGTTCAAGCATAAAGCTAAGGCAAATATGCTAACAAAGTTTTCCTCTACTTCAGCTGGTTTTGAAAGATGAAGTTCAAAGTCCACTCATATTTTGCAGTTTCTGATGCAAAAAAAAATGGCTTTTATTCATTCAAGCTACTAAGACAACTCTTAACAGGGCTGAACAGCTGAGACCAGAGAGGTTGAGTTTATTTTTTTTGTATTTAAGAAATGCCTCCTGCTCTGCTCTCCCTCCATCCCCACCCACCACCCCCACCTCCCCACCCCCAGACCTTTCCACTATCCTCAATGTTTTATTTTCATTGCCTGGCAGAGTTTTAGAAATCTAAATAGGACATATTACCTTTCAAATTTCTGCAACATACTCAGTGCCCTTTCAGTGTTCAGAATACTTTCAAAGGTGATGTCTATGAACCTCCTTAATTGATCCTGAAGGACAGTAAATAATTCTACATCAGATAAGTCCCTAAAACACACATCAAATATGCCAAGTATTATTTGAGAGGGTTTAACATGCAATATATTAGAAGATAATTTGTTGATGTGAAACTAATCTCAATAAGTATTATTTTTCCATTTATTTCTCCTCAAAATAATTAAACAAAACACAGCCAACTTTCGAGGCATTTTCTTTCCAAGTTCCCTCTGTAGCTCTGCAACCAGGAAAAGCTTCTGTAGCCTCCGAGTTTCACCATGTTGAGAGGCCTTAAAGAATGCTTGCTTACCTCTCTGGCAACCAAAGCAAGACAAGCTTTTTTTTTTTTTCTTCTGCAGATACCCTTCTCTTTCCCCATCTTGTGATTTCAGAACTATTGGAAAGTTAATTATCTGACTTATTTGTACTACACTCCTATTCACTCAATGAAATCACCCATTTTTGTTATTCTTGACAGCATACAGTAATGAAAAATCCTTTTGCTGAAGGCCCTCAATGGCCCATTCCATTAAACTAGTCTGAAAGATAGTAAATGGAAGCTTCAAAGTGGAAATATATTGGAATAATTTTTCAATTTCAGAATGCAAACTTTGAGATTTGCATTTTTTGTGGTAACTCAGAGAGAATAATAAGGATTTCTCAATAAATTAAATTATTTTGTATAATTGTATCATACATGAAGATCATTTATGTCTCTGCAAAACTCTTCATAGTCTTGGTCAAAATCAGTCTTCTGCAGATCCAAGAAATCATAATGCTTATTCTTCATGTTGTCAACAATGCTCTAAACAATTTCACAGAAAAAGAAAACCATTACCAAAAAAATGTCTTATGAAAAAGACTTACCACACCAAACATTTAGCACAACAGGTTGTGCACATTCACATTTTACCGTTGCTAATAGTTCCCAGTACTTACTGAGCAATATAAGCAAACCCCTTAAAAGAAATATTTGCAGAAATAAAGTTGGTGTCATGCCCATTCAAATTTAATTTCTAGTATTTATTTCAAATAAATTTGAAATTTATTTCAAATTTCATTTGTATTATTTCTCTTATTCTAAGTCAATTAGAACTGACACAAAATTCAGACTTGCTTTTCATCAAAGACATTATTTACTAATTAAACATTCTGTCATGAAGAAGTACATTTCTATTAAAATTTCAAAGTTCAACAGAGAAAAATGTGGGAGGGGGTGTGGAAGGTGGCCCCCCTGCTTTGCCCTGGGAGGCAACAGATATGTAGTTTCCCACCTTCCCTGTTGTCAATCTTTTGTTATCCCTTCCCCTTGTCCCTGTCTATCATTATGTACTCCTTCCCCCAGTTCTGGAATGTTCTGAGTTCTTTGTATCCCCATTGGTCCCTTCCCCAAAACCACTCCTTCCCCCTATCCCCATCGGTTGTTACCCTGCCACTCTCCCTCTACTCTGCCCCTGATCCCTTTCTTATTGGCTGTTTCATACCCTGACCCTCCTTCCCAGTTACTGTTATAATCCCTACCCCGCCCCTGGTTCGGGGCTTTCAGAGCTGGCTGTCCTGAGGGGTTGTTCCCCTTCGCCACCCACCTCACCTTCCCTCTGCTGAGCCCTCAGGAATAAAGCCTCTTGAGAGTCACCCGCCTCGGTGGAAGCCTTTTATTCTACAGCTATCCAGCTCTTGAAGGACCTGACCCTGTGGCAAGCCAGAGTGGTCACAGGACCCCAGGGCCTCAGAAAAATATTTTCACATTATTATTTTCCATGTCCTTTAAACAACTGATTCCATACATAGATAAACTCTTCAAAAAACACGGTAAGATGCAGCACATCACCAGCCCACAACTTAGTATTCCTGGCTTCTCTTACACAGCTGCTGTCTATACACATAAAAGTATATCTTAGTCATCATCTCTCTTGAGATGTAAACACAGATAAAGGATTCCTAATGATAAACTACTGTTCAACATCCTAATAGTTTACCACAGTATAATTACGAAACTCGGCATATTTCCAGCTCAGCTGACTTCCCTAAATTCAGTTTCATTGCATTGCTGTAAACAAAAAATTCCATCTTTTTCTTGAACAACATGTAAATCCTAGATAGGGACTAAGTATTAAAGCATAAAAAACAGCAAAATAGTTAACTCCTATTGTAAAAAAATGTTAAGACATATAATCAGTCACATGCTAATTGTAGCTATGGTCCATGTCAAATACTTCAGTAGCTCAATTTTGTCACTTTAAAAAGAAGTGTGATCACTTTTCTGCTCTTTATGCAACCTATTCAGAACCTTTCACGCAGCCTTTTTTACCTAAGCATTCTTCATCCTGAAACACAATTGACTTTACAGCAGCTGGGTCTCACACAAAGTTCTTGTTTAAGGACTTGGGTGCTCCTAATGAGGTGTATCTCTATAAAGTTTGCATCATAGCTTGAACTGATGGTCGCAAGCAGCTTTTCAAACACAAACGCCCCAAAGAAATTCTATTCACGTTTTCCAGCCTATAAAAATTGCACTTCATTGCATGATCTGAAAATTCTTCACAACCCGGATTGCTGAGAAGTCTGGTTATGCGACTTTGGAGAGCAGCTCTTGGAAATAAAATTTAGAGCATTCCACACCTGTCCTGCCCACATGGAAGAGTCTTGGACTAAGGTATCCTTACAGCTGTGCCCTGGCTAACTCTCAGAAGACTATAGAACAGAACAAAGCAGAAAACTAGTTACTGTGAAGGATGTATTCAAAGAATCAAAACCCCAGACAACAGATGGAGTAAACTAGACAAGGAAGGACCATGGAATGGCCACATTTTACACTACAGTTATTTCACTAAAGCAAAGTGATTGACTCCTGATCATAACAAAAAGGCAAGGAACAGAGTAAAGCAAACTAGAATCACATATTTTCCTGTACAGCCACTGATTCATATGTGATCTCAAAAAGCTGTCTACAAAGTCCACATATGGACACCTTTTGATTTATTTTAATATTTACAGGCACCATAATTATGATACTGCACTGATAAAGTTACACAAAAAAGTAAGCTAACTCAGGCTCAGTAAAAGCAGGAAAGACTCCATTTGGTAGAAAAGAAAGCTAGCTGAGAAAGAAGGAAAGAAAAGATTTAGCATATTTGTATTCTTAAAAGAGCTCCTTGTTACTCAGGTCCCACTTCTCTTAAAAAAAAAGAAATAAAGAAAACCACATAGTAATACTAATGAGCCAAGGGGCACTCACAGTTAGCCCAAAATTTGTAGAGATAGAAATGTAGCACTTCTCACTTTTTCTCATGACCACAGCACAAAACCATGCTCCCATTACTCCTGTTACAAAGTCATCCCAATTTATTGCATTTTTCAATCAGCTTTGATTTTAGCATACTTCTTTCACATGTCCACTGGCACCTTTTCTTTCATCTTGTCTTCTCATTTCCCCAGTAATCACATATTAACATTGCTATTACCCAGTAATTTTAACACAATTAAAGAGTTAATTTTTTTCTCAATAATCGCTTCCCTAATTTTCATAGTTTTCTCATAAAAGGGTCAAGCTAGACTGAACCAATATACAAAATCTAATGCATACCTGATATTTTGTGATCATTGCTTCCAATCCCTCTATCTTAGATTCTTGTAGAACTGAGTAGGTTCTCATAGTACTGAAAACATCTATTATCTTTACCAGACGATGATGAAAGGCTTCAAATTTTCCAAATACATATATCTCACTAAAATCAAATTGTCTTTCAGCTGGATTTTGTTCCAAATTCTCTTTTATCTTGTGGAAGTAATTTTGATACTCCTTAAATAAAGAATTTAAAAGAATGTCAAGCATATAACAAAAATCACTATCTTTAGCTAGAACAAAATTTACACAGATAGGTATTATCCTAACCTGACAGCAAGTAGAAGTTTCACCAATAAACAATCATGAACACTATAAAGAGAGTAACAGAATTTGCCTCTGAAAATTAACCCATCAATGCCACTAAAGGATTATACATTTCATCAAATGACCAAACTGCACATATATGTATTTGTACATATCCTTGGCTAGCATGAAATTCTGTTCCCTCCATTTCATAGCAGGGTTTGATGTGTTTACTGAATAAGCAAGATGACAACCCAGTTTCCAGAGACTGCAAATGTTTGCATGCTGAGCAGTTTTACTGAGTAATCAAGGTTCAAAAATCACTTTCAAGAACAAATCACTTCCTGAACTTTTAATGCTGCTCCATAGCAGCTTCCACTTTTGATTCTGCATTTCTAACAAGGAACAAACCTTATTCCCAATTTGCTAAATTATTCCCAAAGTCAAAGTACATAGTCAACAGATTCACTTGAAACTGTTTCTTTCAATAGTGGTTCTCTTTACAATAAAATGTTCATTATTTTATCACATTTATGTATGAATAACCTCACTCAAAGATATCAATACAGAGGGTCCAGATTTTGCTATGTTGTTACTGATTCAAATTCTAAGTTTTAATCTATTGCATTTCTGAAAGTTTCTGGAACGAATAAGACTCAAATTAATACCTAATTTTTCAATATATTTTCATGCATCAACTGGACAATTTGATATATCTTTATAGAAAAAGACAAGTTTATTGCTCATTGCTGATGGTAAGATGTCATACAAATTTATACTCATTTATTCTAGAACTAGGTAAGATTTGTTGCATCAGGAGGTATTAGTCCTGCAAGCACATATTGGGAATGAAAAAAAAATAATGCAGAAAGCCTACATGAAGCTCCCAGTATGTACAGGGAGATTATCAAAGAGAGAGTCAGACTCTTCTTCACAGTAGTACATGGACAGAAGCCAAGAAGCAAAGGGCGTAAATTGAAATGGATGAGGTTCTGACTGGCTATAAGGAGAGAAACTTTCATCCCAAAGACAGTCAAACAGTGAAAGAGGATGCCCAAAAAGGCTGTGTAATCTCTTCATCCTTGGAGAACTTCAAGACAGGACTGGATAAAGGATTGGGAAACCAAGTTTGATCTCATACTGCTCCTGCTTTGGGTTTGAGTAGAAGGTTGAACTAGATACCTGCTGAGGATCCTTCCAAGCCGAATTATCCTATAATACTATGCTTTAAGGGGAGAAGAACAAAGAAAAAAAAAAAACCTTTAAAATTATCACAGAACTGCATTAAAAAAAACCAAAGGCTTCCTGACAAGTCTAGGTTGACTGAACAGCTGAATTCTTCTCAGTTCACTAAATTGTCCTTTCTAAGTGTATAGCTTGTTCACACTTCTTTGAATATATTCAGTTCAGTAACTCTCCTTGTTTCAACTTCTATTTCATAACTCTCCACATCAAGTGAGAAGATACAACATAGAGAAACATAGGCATGAAAATCCAAGCAATACTCTTATAAGCATAGTTGAGATGGACTAAACATCAAAATTCTGTTTCCAGAAGATCAACAGACAACAGGCTAAATTCCTTGTTAGCTCTAGCATAAAAATTCCAGTTCCAGTGGATATTTTTCAATTAACTCATTTTTCTTCACTATAACAGTGCTTTCTCACATAAAATCTTCCTATTCCTGCTCTCCTAAATGTCATCCTATAATCTGTTTTCTATATGTTATTCCCACCTACCTGTTTAAGTCTAATAGCTGCTTGTAGCTTTTCCACAACTCTCTCCTGCGGTTGATTCCAGATGGTGGCTGTGCCATTGTTTGCTATATAAGATTTACACACTGTGATCATCTGATTGGTCACCTAAAAGCAGTTTTAACTTCATGAAAACAAGAGCATTCCAATACAAAGCAGATCTTGCCATCCTCTCTCCCATTCCTCTGATTCCTCTGACCTAAAGCCTGACAAATAGCAATACCAAATACAAGCATGACGACAGACTGCCTTCCTTGCAATACCCGGTCTCCAGAACATGACACAACAGAAATGTTATTGGTTAACTATGCTCATCCTCAACCTACACATCTTGTACCAACCTTGAAATAGCATTGAAGGGTACAAAGTCCTAAGACTTCGTCTCTTCTGAAAGCAAATGTGAACTCAAGAGCCCATGAGAGTATAAATGGTAAAGAATACGTTGTCTTTCTAATCCATTTCCTTCTTTTTGCAAACATGTGGATGTTTAAGGGCAATATGAATTTAATGTATTTGGTTCTACAAAAAAAAAAACCCCATTCATAACAGACAAAACTTGTAAAAAATTCCTCTCTGTACATCAGAGGTCAGATTTAAGTCTGAGAATGTTCCTAATACTGCAAATTATAGGCAGTGAAATAAATCCTAAATTTGAAGTAGTTTATCACTATTTCCACTTCTTTATATATTAAAAAAGCAGCATTAAAGTGACTGAAGTGCTGCTTCCCTAATTGCTTGGTTCCTTTGTTTTTTCTCTAGCACCCAAGCAACAACACAGAAAACAATCCGGGAATATTTATCTTCCTGCTGAGCACCAACCTTCACAAACAGTGAGGAGATCTTTTCAGAAGTGTTATAATACTGAGAGAGACTCTGAATCATTTTAATTGCATTTATGAGCCCTGGAATAGCATCCAGCATGGACACCTGGAAAGAAACACACAGATTGAACTCTGCTCAGTATCTCTATTACCACACATTATCACAACACCTAATTAGTGAATACAGGAGAAGCATGAACATTGTCTTTGGAATGGTTCTGTCCCTGTCTACCTGGGCCTCTCTTGCAGAGCTGTCTGTCTTACATCATTCTCCAAGCTCTACAATTTAATTTTGGGGAAAAATTTCCACTGGAGTCTTGCCTAGAAAAATCCAGATCAGTGAATGAAATTTGGTAGGAGTAAAGGCTTTCTTTCTTTCTTCTTTCTTCAAAAGAATCACCTTTTTCACCAAAAAAAAAAAAAAAAAAACAAAAAAAAACAAAAACAAAAAACGTTTATATGCTCAGTTGCTAAACCTGATGTAAGCTTGAATGCAAAGGTGACCCCTTCACCAAGCTTTTGCTCTGTTTTTATGGGCATCATAACCCAATAACCATACAATAGAGAAACTCAAATAGCAGATTGGAAACACTGAAAGAACACACTGTTCTAATATCACCCAGTAAGCAAACAGAAACAAGCATGGTTGCCCAGAGCACTCTTTGGAAACAATTTGGTACTGGGAGAGAGGAGAGAGAGAGGGGAAGCTAGGACAGGTCAAAGTTTTGAGTCTTCATGACTACCAGTTATATTTCTTTGACTAGCAAGACACATACAGTCAGTGGCAAAACCAGTTTTAATAAAAGCAATTATTTGCCACTTATTTTAGTTGATAATGGGAGAGAGAGACTCCTCCAGTCCTGTACTTTAGGGTGGCTGGTTTTGTTTATTGCATTTTATGCTTGCATCATCCTATGCATTCTCATACTATAGTATAAGAAGGTGATTTATAATTATGTCTTAATATTTACATAATCCTACTTATGCAAAAATATCTTTTCCCAACCCAAGAAGCTGAAAATTGCCCTAAAAGTGTTAATTTGGCCACCAACACAAAGACAAAAGATCAAACTTTGTCTTTAGCATAACCTTAGATCTACTTTTCTTTTTAATCGTAAGGAATTCACTTTCTCCCATAGGATGGAATCCCATCTGTTCATCAGAACTAAAGCTTTACAGATGAAAATATGAAAATAACAAGTACTTTATTTTGTAGCCATAAATTCCCATTAATCCACTTTTACCACAACTGCACAAAATCTCAAACTGGAGTTGCATATGTAAAATTTTTTGTCTCATTTCAAAACTCATCCTACAGAATATATTCGTGTTGCTTGTCTTAAGACATTTATGTTAAGAATTTAAAAGTTCTACTTACAGGATCACTATTGTATAATGGGTCATAATATTTTTCCAGAGAATACAGATATTTCACATTATCTTTAGCTTCATTTGCTGTGTATGTGATGCAAATATCCAATGCTCGCCACTTCTAAGAACAGAAAGTCAAAAGAACAAATAAAAGTATGTGTTTCAGAAAAAATGTTTTGAGATCATTTTGATTTGTCATTAGCTTCCAAACACGTTTGAAGGCATAAATCTTTTACTTCAGAATTATACTTGTTCACCCAAGATGGGGTCCTTGCCCTGTTTCAGCAACTTAACTGTGAACATGCAGTTGGTTTAGACCATTCAGCTAAATAGTCAGTGGCAGTGTGCAGTCAAGCTGTTGTAAAATATATGAGTTATGGTTATATAACTATGTATTTGTTCCACATCTCATTTTGAGGAGACAAGATTTTTTGGTTTATTTACTTATTTTCTGTTGGTGATGGGACTTTAAATTTGTTATATGTCAATGTGACAAGTTATGATTCCACAATCAATTCTGACAGGCACTGTAACAACATAAAAACAAGGCTTAAAAAATTGGGAGATTCATTTTTTTGTCATTAAATATCCAGTTCATTAATTTAATATTCTGATTTAATAATCAACTTTTCATTTTTAATTATTTATTTCTGTTGAGCCATGTGGATGAAGTACATTATCAGCCTTTAGACTCAGGGGATTCCCAATTGTTTTCAATAAATTGAACTAGATATAAATTTTATCTACTCAAGCTAAAGAATAGAGAAGGCAAACAAAAGCCAAAGATGTTTCAATGTTTTCCCCACCAGCATTGTTACATACATTATCAAAATGAGCTAGGGTATAAAGAGCACTTCTAGTATTTATATCTGTCATAATTTAAAGTAAAAACCTTCAGCAGTTTGGATTTAGCAGCAGTGAGTACTCCAAGCACTGCCTTCACATCTGGGCTCTTCAGCTGCTCCATAAAGTAGTGGAATTTTGACAACTTCTTTTTCCAATAATCAAGCTCTGCTCGTGGTCCAAGGTCATCTGCTTCTTTTCTCAACTGGTCATTTTCTGCAAGAACCTTTTATCATACAGTAATGTGAGAGATGTTCATATTTTTATCTGCAGAGCTAGCATGGATTGATTCTACTTTTAGCAAGTGGTATTAACCTCGCCTGATAAATTACCTAACTTAGCCTCCCCCTCATTTAAGAAACTTGATCTTGCTTGGTCCTTCCATTTCCAAGTTAAAGAAGAGATTCTGTTCCTTCTGTTCCAAGACCACTGTTACAGGCAGTTACATTTTCTGCAAATAACCTGCAAAGCATGTTTCAAAGTACAAATATGACCACTGTGAACAGTGTTCACTCAGTTACTGTGGTTTTGTTTTTTGTTTTGTTTTCATTAGTCCACTGGGAACTACTAACTGTTTTGTAGCTTAATAACAGGTAATTATCAAAGTCAGGGGACTAAGCTTCCCAAACTGTATCCCGTATTAACAAGCCGATGGAAAAAGCTCTCAGTAATATTTCCATTGAGAAGTAAAAGCACAAAAACTATACAAATAGTACTTTAAAATAAAGAGATTTAATTAATCCAAATTTATAGAAAGGTAGCTATAACACCAACAGGATTAAACTCATCTGCCAAGATGCAGACGTTGTCATATTTCACATTTGTCCCATGTATCACCTGTACAATTTGTTTGGTCCATTCTCTCATGCAGACTTCTATTTTTTCAAGAGCCTCTATACTGTTAGCAACCATCAAGTAATCTGAAGGTCCTCTTAGAGTTTTCAGATCATATGTTTCACATTTCTTCAGGCTGACCTAAAATATAAGTTTTTAAAAAATGAAATGTTGAATGTTCATGACAAATAAGCTAGGAACTTTAAAGACTAACTCATTGCCCTGCTTTGGGTATCTCACTTCTTATTCCCAGCTCAGTCTAAATTAAACTGGTTTGAGCCAGAAGTGGAGTCCAGAATTTAAAGAATTCACCAACCAGGCAGCTATGCTCTCATGCTCTCATTCCTTCACAAAAGCTGAGTAGAATCCAACCAGATAAATCAACAGTTTCTTGTACATTAACCATTCAACATTTAAGAGCGACCACAACCATTGAGGAGACAAGAATTTAATAGCTCTAAAGAAATGGCCCTAGAATAAACAAGAACAGAAGCATCTACAGAACTATTAAAGACACAGATCAAAGAATAATGAGTTACTGATGACAATAAACAGAAGTGTTAGGTTATTTTCCAGTTTAATAAAAACAAATTTTATGAGTAATCTACAACAGCAGCTAATTCAAAAGGTCCAGAGCTAGAGACATTCTACAGCTAGCTCACTTTCTATTTCCCTCATGAACATATTACCTTTTCCAACAGATTTTGCTGAGTTCCTGATAGGACACTAACAAATGCTTCAAGGGCACGAAGGAAGTCCTGCTTAATATTGGGAACTTGTTGAGGTTCAACCCAGCCACTGCCCATAGTCTGTAAGGCTGGAATGAATATTTCTGATATCAACTGCTCAACACTTTTTAATAAGCCATCTCGACCTATATCCAGCATATTAAAATTTATTTCCTGTAAAAGAGACAAAATAGAAGGGGTCTTTCACCAGTAAAAACTTCATTATATACATGTACATATATTTACATATGCACTCTCAAAAGTAAAATAATTTTTTGTTTTTCAAATTAATTTGCTAGATTCTTTTTTAATTTAGCACCTTAGTATTTAGGTATTGATTAATTACTCTGCCATTACGGATTGTCTTAAACTTTCTTCCTCGCTATCATTTTTCATATCAATTATATGCATCATGTTGCTCCCACAAGATAATATCGGTATTTCCGTTTCCGTCCCTTTTTGTCCTGTTTCATTTAATCCATCAGTGTCCTTTTACTCATTCCCCCATGTCAAGAGCTGTCTAATTATATGCGGAGAGCAAATACCCCATGGTAAAACCAAATTTTAAACAACATTATGTACAGAGAGGAGTAGCCACTGACTTACTTGATAAATATTCTCAGTTGTGACTGGTTTAGAAAAACAAGATCTAATGAAGAAAATGCATACACCAGTTAAAGCAACTTCTTTTCCCTCTGTCACAAATACTTTCAGTTTCTTCTTCTTGATCAAATGAGAGTTCATTCCTATTCCTGTAAGGCCAAAGTACTCTACAGATTCAAACAAATAAACAATTAAGACCTATTGATCATTTATTCAAAGAAAAGTTCTCTACACAAAAAGTTCAGTCATTATTTGTGCCTCTCTGAGTCCCAGTCTCCTGGAGGCATCTCACTGAACTACCCACAGAAAGTATGCAGCATTCAGAGTCTTCATGTCACAATAAGAAATATTTAATCTAGTTTTGCCATTCTTGCATCAAAAGCCTTTTATTTCTATTAATTTATGTGTTTTTTCTATTCCTTCTAAATAATGGTTCAAACTTAAGGTCCTTTTATAGGCTCAATCATGCAGTTGGAGATAATGCTCTCTTGCTTGAAAAAGGAAAGTTAAAAATCAGAAAATGTAGTGATGTATTTTACCTTAGAGGAGCTACTGCCAACTGTCCTTCTCTAAAAATATGCAAACATAAGGGAAAAAAAAAAATAGGGTGCTTCTGAAAACAAGGAGAAAGGGACCATAACAGATTCTCTGGGGCAAAAGCAAACAAACAAAAACCAATAAGGGAGCCACAAGGGACTTCCTTGTCCATTCTTCTTCCCCCAGCATGAATATACTGCTCTCATGTTCAGGCTGCTGGCAACACTTGTAAAGGGTCACTAAGAAGAAGCAGCGTCTTTGGGGGTAAAATATTTCTCATATGTTTTTGGTCACAATACCTCACACTACCTTGTTACTAGCTTTTCAGTATTACCTCAGAGTAAAATTGCATGCATACACATCTCAGTGAGGCACTACTACAATAAGAAGATGAAAAAGTAAGTTGTTGATAACAGTAGTAAAAGGACAACATCCAAAAAGTGATAAACCCCTCTGCACATTTTTTTCTTCAGGTACAGGACCATCTGCACCAGGAATCCCTATACTGGATCAGGTGGCCACCTTAAGTTCACTCCCCATCCTTCTGGTCACATCGTCTTCCTCTCTACCTTTTTTCACAGCAGCTCTGAAGAAGTCTCTTTTTCATATACCTTGGAAGTACAACAAGGGCTCTGTCCCCAGCAAAAGTCCTGACTCTGTAAATGTTATTAATTTGAGTTATTGCACGCTAATAAACTTGTGCTATCTTTATACTGCAGTAATGTTTCAGTTTTGCATGGTTCTTGGTAATAAGGGGGCCACAGATGTGCTTCTGTGAGAAGCTGCTGGAAGCATCCACCATGTCCAGCAGAGCCAATCCCTAATGGAGATGCTGCTGGGCCAATTAGAGATGGTGGTAATGCCTCTCTGATAACATATTTGAGAGGAAAAGCAAAACAAAGTTTGGGGCACAGTTTTATATTCAGACAGAGAAAAGGAGGAGGTGAGAACATGGGGAGGTGCCCGTGCTGGAGTGGGTGGAGGAGGCTGTGATCTAGTGGGGGACCCAGAGGAGAGAGAGGTCGCTTGCCTCCAGGCTGGAGCAGCCTGTCTTTGGAGGACTGCACCCCGTGGAAAGAGAGACATGTCACAGCAGTTTTGGGAGGACTGTGTGCCATTGGGAGGACTCAGTTTTGGGAGGACTGCTGGGCATGAGATGGGAACCACATTGGAGAAGTTCACAGAGAACTGTCTCCCGTGGGAGGGGCCCCACAGTCTCACCGGGGAAGGATTCCTCTCCCTGGGCAGTGAAAGCAAACCTCGGGGGATGAACTGACCAAAACCCCCACATCTCCCTGCCCTGCCGGTGGGAAGGAGGGAGGTGTCAGGGGAAGAAAAGGTGTTTTTAAGGGTTTAATTTACTTCTCATTATCCTGCTCTGATTTAGTTGGTAATAAATTCACTTTGTACCTTTAAGCCAAGCCTGTTTTGCCCTTGGAGTTTTTTTTTCCCAGTCCTTATCTCAATTCACAAAGCCTTCAATAAATTCTCTCTCCTCTGTTCAGCTGTAGCAGGGGAAGGTGAGTGAGCAGCTTTTGTGGGTGCCTGGCATCCAGCCATGATCAAAGTGCCACAAGTAATTACAGAGGCAAAACCAACAAAAGTCATCAGTTTTCCCACAATCTCTGGAGGTGAAGCAGATAGTATTACCTGCAGTCTCTTTAGAAAAGATGTATTCTTACTGAAAAGGGTGCGAGAAGTTTTTAAAATTCACATGAATAATGATCTTCAAAACACTGCAAGAAATCAAACTATTAAATGATACCTTAGGACTCTGAAGTAGATATTCCTGTACTCACAGATACAGTCTCCTGCTCTGCAGAAACACAAAATTTCTTGTACACTGCCTTCACGGGATCATCTTCTGCCCTAACACTAATATTGGTTGATCCACATCAGGGTCAGAAAACCAGCTTGTGTATGAGGCGGCTGTAGTAGTTGTCCTTGCTAAGAAGGTGCATGTAATGCCACAAAAATTCACTTAGCTTTATCAGTTAGTACCTACCATCACAATTCAGATTTTTGCTTTGACAGCCTGTGAACCTCAGCCCTGAACAATCAATACAGATAATTATTTTACAAACTCTACTCCACCTACAAAGGGAAAATGTACAGCAGTTTTACTGTCTGACAGTATTACAAGTGACTGCCCTTACAGCTGTGAGCAAAGTCAGTCTTCAGTCCACCCACTTAATCCCCACTGTCTTTTCCATCACTACTTTTTCTTTTTAAACTTTTTTTTCGTCCTGTGCATGATGTTCTGGGGACTTTTGCTTATTCACTCAATGCCTTGCCATAAATTAATTTGGGTTTTGCTTATGTGGGTTTTTTTTTCCTACTGCTTTCCATACTGCCTATATTTAGCACCAAACCCCAAAATGTTACCAAAATCATGCCATACTGTAGTGTGATCTGGTTGGTTTGTTGGTGGGCATGGGCAACACTCATTAGATTCCTAGGTTTTGACACTTGCCTCATACTCTCTTTGTCATACTTTCACCGCTTCATCTCAGGCATGTTAAAACTTTCTCATCAGATTTCCAAATTAGTGGTTGGGTTTGTGTTTGTATTTAACTGTATTTCTATGTGCCCTGAAAATTTTTATTAAAGTTGCTTATATCATATTAAATAGTTTTTTTCATCCCTTTTAGATATATACAGATATACTGAAAAAAATACATACATACATATATACTGAAAATGCATTAAATATAAATCCTTATTTGTACATTCATCTAGGTATATGTTTACCTATGTATAAACACATTTATACAGCTAAGCATAGATATGTTTATGGGACTTTGCATGTACCTCCAGGGTAACCAAGTGGTGTGAACTCCCACCAGCCAGTCACAGGCTCTGAGAGGTCACAGAGCACCTGGCTAGTCCCAACAGCAGCAGCACTGGAGGCTCTGGAAGAGGAGCCATGGGAAAAAGCAGGATGTCCTTGTCACAGGTGTCCTGAGTTACTTCCATGGTAAGGGAGAAGGAGTATTCCCCCAGAGATGTGGAACATGGGGGTACTCAGTAAAGGGGTACGGGCAGAAGGGACTTCTGGGGTAACACCCCTTCTACCCATGATGTGGGCCTCATGAAGACATTTGTCATGTAACAGGACCACCTAGATGGATGGTCATGTGCCAAGATGGCTTCTAGGGCCAACTGGTGGCATGACTGAAGAGGATAGGAACGGCATCTCTCACTGCTCACCCTGTGTGAAAATCACCTTTTAATTATCCAAAACTAATTCCCACAGGCAAGAGCTGCTGAGCTCACAAGAAAGTACTTTGCTGCTTCATAGTAGCAATAAGCAGAAGTCCACTGATTAGCTTCAGTAATTTCATCAATTGTCATGTCATGACTTGCTTTAAGTCCCAGTTTATAAGAACTTGATTGTTTTCTTTTTCCTTGCAGATTTGCTCAGCACAACTGTAACACGTTGCAGGAGAATATAAGCTGCTTTACCTGTATCCATTACTTCCACATCTTGATAGTAGAACATCAGATGACGCAGACCTCCAGGGGCCAGGAATCTGTTTATGCGCTCTATCTGTTTGAAATCATGTTAAGATCATATTATGCCATTGATTTGATTCATATCACAGCAGCAGAGGAAGCCTTTGCTCATTTACTTTTTTACAAGCATCAGGACTTCATCAATTCAAGGCTGCCATCAAGCATCATGGAAGCAGGTATTGGTAGTGCAGTCCACAAATCTCACATATAGGCCATGCAGGCTGAGGAAGAAACTGAGTTTCTTTATGCTAATATGCTGATTGATGTCTCAGCACTTGAAAGTCTGGCCTCATCCATTATTTTTCTAGATCTGAGTCACTCTTTTGTGTAGTCCCTAACTATATTAGCTATCTTCAGCAGAAAAAGCTCCTTTAAGCTCATCTTCAGAAACATTAGATGGTGTCATTTGTGCTTTCTACTGCATAAAAAAGGCTAAAAGATCACCAGAAGCTGGAAGAAAGACACAATTATCCCTCTTCCATTAATAACAAGCCTCAGTTACACCAAGATAATGAACTGCTATTCCAGAAAATCTTGGCTTAGCCCTCCAAGATGAGATCAAAACAACTATTACACTTCTCTCTTTCCAAACGTAGAAATTGCCTATATTTTCCTCACCTGACAGCTATTCTCAGGCACTACAGTTTGCAAGGAAAACCATTTAGAGATAGAATGCACAAAGGCTGAAACAAATTCTGCTTTTTAATGTGCATGACAGTGTTCTGCACTGCTCATTTGCTATCTCATGATCTCACAGAAATGTTGGAAGGGACCTTTGGGAGGTCTTGAAGCCAGTGTCCTGTGTCACCAACAACAGCTCAGATCATCTAGAGTTTTATCTAGACTGAGACTCAAAAACCCCAAGGACAGAAATTCCACAACTGACTTGAAGTAACCTATTCCCATGCCAGGGGGAGGGAAGGTAATTCCTATTACCCTCCTGGTGAAGAAGGGTCTCTTGGTGGCCATTTTGCAAAATGTGGTTTTATCATTGAAGTTATCACCTGCACCCACTGAGAATAGTTCAGCTCTGTCATCTTTGCAACCAGTCTTCAAGCAGCTGCAGGCTACTATTTGAGTGCCACTCAACCTCTTCTTCTCCCTTATCTCATTCTTCATGTGCCCTGTGTCCCACCCTTTCTTACTGGTCTTCCACTGGACTTTCTTCAGTTTCTCAACAATATTAGCACTGAAATGTGAATGTATAAATTGAAGGCACGCTGATGGAAAGAGAATACAAGATAAAACAAACCATAAAAACCCAAACCACAGCCATGTTTACTTTAGTGTCAGGGAGTAAAATATCTACTATCTACACAGCTTTTTAAAAAAGTGATATTTTTCAATGTATCAGTATCTGAATTTGTATTAGCCCTCATGCAGTCACAATCAGATCACATAAGCCATTCTCTTTTGTCAAGTAGCTTCTACCTATTTTAATTTGCTAAACTAGATTGCAATACAGTCTCACAAATGCTGCTGGCAGCCTTATGGAAACAATAACATACAACCTTGCTGTTGCCAGGACTCTTGAACCTCTCTGTGCTCTGTACTCAAGGACTGGGAGACTTCACACTGTGGTTTCACTATGAAATACAGTCCCAAGTTTTAGCACATTAACTATAACCACTGGAAAGAAGAAATTCTAATCAATTTAAAAATCAATATCATTACAATAGGTCTTGGAATTAAGGACACTTTTGTTCAAATTAATTAAAAATGCTGAAATATTTTTTCAAGGAGACTTGAGTGATCTCAGGTGTGAAGTCTAAAAACTCTCTCACCATGAATTTAATGGTAATATTAGTTCCAAAATATACTATGAGATTCACTTTCAAATTAATCAGATTACCTGGTTTCCATCAAGAATAGCATCTTCTACTTCTGCTTTGTCCAGATTCACACAAGAGGCAATGATATCCAGTAAGTAATCATGTCTGCCATCCAGACGAGCACGTTTAGCCTCTCTCTCATCCTTGAGCTTTTGCTGTTATTAAATACAAAGTGGACAATGAAATATTCATGATCTAATTTGAAGGCAAAAATAAAGAAAACTTTAAAATTTATGTTTAAAATTTATATTTGAAAGTAAAGGCTATTACATTCAATCCACACTTGTGATTTATGTTTTTATGGCGCTCAAATGAAAATTTTAGAAGCAGCCTTTGTTACAATTTTACAGTTTGTTGCTGGTGTTCCTTTTTAAGATTTATCACGACATTTCTATCATAAATAATGTTGTACAGAAAGCTAATTCGTTGAAAGGCTTTGTAGGAAAATAAGTATTTAGTATGTACAGCTCCATTATTCTGCAATTTACCTTCAACGCCCTAAATTCGTTGTCTCATCTTTTCAGTCTAGTCACATATGACCATCAAGTCAAGACAGGATTCTGACTGGTCTTTGTTATGCGTGGAAGACAGTGTAAGCACTCCCTAATAAAGACAGATGCGGCTGCAGGAAGCTAGGGTTTTATACATTATCTCTTTAATATAATGAGAAGTAAAACAAACCACAAGCCTCAAGGTACACAAGTGTTTACAAATGTGCTTAACTATAGCTATTATACCATTCTTCAAGCAGTAAGCCTACTCTTCTTATTAAATTGAAATTCCATATGTAACACACCTCATTAAATTATAGACAACATAGCCTTCTGGAATAGTTATTATTGTACAAGCACAAAATGGTATTATTGTGCTTGTGGGCTACAAGATTCAATATAGTTTCATTTTCAAAAGAAGTTTAGAATGATGTTTCATTGGTGGTAAATTCAATCTTTATTTCCCTGGTGATTAGGAGAAAACTAGTAACTTTATAAAGTATGCATAAGTGATTTATCCACAAGCTTTTGCAGAGCCAAAAGGAACTGCATAGTATACTTTATACCCTTATGTAAATATTTTTCCTACTTTCTGAAGGAATTTTCAAATACATGGTAAACTTGTAAATACCACCATGCCTTCATAAATGCTGAATGCATTTGAAATATTTCTCTGTATAAAAGACAGACATACAAATCCTATTCTTTACAGAGATATGTCTGAAGAACACAGCAGCAGATTAATTCATACATGTACTTTGTGCTATTTTACCCCTGTCATACCCTAACATGGTCTCCAGTTTCCTGAAAGTGAAGTGTCATCACAGGACTGGATTTTTCTACTTGTTTTTAAACATAAGCATAAGTTTTTCTCCTTGTTAGACATGCAAAAAGCAACCATTTTTTTCTGAATCAGCTTCATTCACACTAGATGATAAAAATAGAATCCTCAAAACTATTGTTCCAGTAATTTGAACACAACTGATAGGGCATCTTTAAGAAAATAAAAAAATACAACCCAATACTCTACCAATTAGCTTCTATTTAATACAGAAAGAAGCCTTTTGTTTTATCTAAACTACAGAGAGATTACCTTTGTACTCTGCTTGTGTTTCCAATATAGAGCTCTAGATATATTACTAACAAGACTACATCTTACACTGTTTTTTAAGTAATCAGCTCCACCTATACAGATGCTCTTGACATGTTCATAGCCTCCATTTCTTCTACAAGTTTCTGTTTGTAGAGGCTTAAATCATGAGCACATTCTTCTCAAACTAAGAAATCATGCCCCAACATTTGTTTCTGGTTTTTAAAACTTGTTTTAATTGCTGTGTCTCAAGCCCTATGACACATATATAAACTACTGTGCATAGCTATTCATAAAGCACTGGGCAGTATTTGTTGTCTAAGTCCAGCAACAAGAATATTCATTAAGTTATCATAAAACTTTAAAAGTCTAATTAACTTAAATTACTTAATGAACCATGCCTAGAGAAACAGGAAACTATTAAATGGTAAAGTTATACTTTTATGAAGATTAGGTCTTTAACTTGTATTTATCACGTCACTACTGGAAGGTGTTTGTTTTGATATGTTGGATATTTCTACTACTAATGCAAGTTCCACACATTTTTTTTCCTGAGAGTTGCTAAAATGCAATGCAAGAACACTCAATACAATTCAAGCTGTCATGCTTCTATATTTAAGAAGTTATCATTTTCAGAAACTTCCTTCCCAAATGAAATGTTGCTCAATCACAAACTCACACATTAGTTGTTGCAGTCATTAGAAGAAACTTCTGCCTCACTTTTAAGTTAAAAGTTAGGTTTCCCCTACTTTTCTGTGTAAAACATAATTCTTTAAGTTGTACACTAAAAAGTAGAGAAAACTTAACTTCAGTACTTTCAAAAGCAAGCCACTAATTTACGTACTTAAAAACACTAGGAGGCTATGTTGGAAACTGTTTTCCAGTCTAGCTTCTGAGCTTCTATTTGCATACTGATAAAAGAGCGAATTTTAAAGATATTCTTTACTTAGGATTAGGAATCTCAGAGAATTAATTACAAGAAAATGCTGGGCTTTCTGCCTCTCATTCTTCCCTTTCCCCTTTAGCTAACCTCACATCTCACTTCAAATCAGCATTGTTGTCATGGCCTAAGAGTTTTTGTAATTTTATATCCTGCATTATTCACTACAAACGTACATAGGCCTAAACAGAATCTATATCAAAAAATATTACCCAATAATAGGCAGCTCTATGTAATTCAGAATTTCATAGAACACTGAAAGACTGAGATTTGAAGATGGAAGGATGCCGAAAAACACACACAGGATCATTTATTAGGTAAAAGAGAAATTGCTGTTACATGCAATAACACCGACATGCAAATCCTGAGTAGTCTGATCAAGGTCATACATCAAAGCCTGTTCCTAATGTCCCATGATGTAGGAGGATGTAGTATTTACAAGAGATAAACACTGTCTCACTTAGATATCTGGAAAGATTGTCTAAGTTTTTTATAGCACAGCTTCAGCTCAGTTTTTCATGTAAAGAACACAGGTAACACAGCCAAGTTAGTTTGGGTTTCTTTAACCACTTTTGGTTATGAAGGTGTGAGAGGTCATATGACACAGTCCCACAGCAGATGAAGATCCAAAGCTAAACTCATTAACTGAAAAGTCCTTTTCTGATGATTAGTCCAGTTACAACATGTAGCTTGATTTATGTTACATAAAACTTTAAAATTCCTTAATCCTAAACACCAACAATTTGGCACAGGAAACTAATTTCAATAGACATCTTCTCCTGAAGCAAGAAAAGGAAGATATTCCTAAATCTATCTTTCATATACCTAAACCCATAAGCATGTCACCATTAGTGTTAAGAAATAATTTGAGATTAAATTAAAATTTTCAAAATGCTTCCTAGCTGCTAAAAAGTATATATATTTAAACAGCAGGTACTAAAAGAGCACAACTCAGAGATGCAAGGGGTTCATTTTTTGAAACAACAGGCTTAGAAACCAGCTATTGACTATTGCCAGCTTCTCCATTACAGACTATAGCTGCAGATGCAGATACCCTGAATAGAGTTAGCAAGAATGTTGTTTAGCATGCAAGGCATATGCACACAAGATAAAACTTGTTCTGAACACTCTTTATCCAGCAAATGACACATTTTGTTGTCAGAATACTGCACAATGCTGAATTCAAACATGCTGAAATCAAAGTCTTAAGGATGAGCAAGACTTTACAGGGAAGTTCAATAGTGAAAGAGTCAAAAAGTAACAATGTTTTATTGTTAATTTACTGTCTTATCCAGAATTTATTTAACCAGCATGGAATTCTTTTGTCTCTCCTTTAACTTGCTAAGGTATTTTATGTTACATAAGCCTTGCTCATGAATTTCCCATCAAAAGTAAACTGCACACCATTTCAAATATTTTCAAGCACCCCGAGTTTTTAATTTTCAAGTTTCAATGTTTTTATTTCCTCTTTCCAAAAAAATACAAACCCTAAAGAATTAGGGCAGTTCCCTTATCTAACTCTTAAACCTCAAAAATCAGAGCTCTGCACATGTCATCACATTGCATTAACTCAGGAACAGTTTGATTAGATAACCAGCTTTTAAAATGAGTCTAAGTATCTTAATGACTTATATAGTCTATTGTGGTTTCTCAATGCTAAATATTGCCTTCAAAATTCTATTCCCATCTTAGAAGTATGGGGAGAGTGGAGTTACATTTCTATTTTCCTTCATGGCAAAGTCAACCCATTTTTTGTTGCCACATCTAGCATCAAACTCTTTAGTGTACTAATATAGCATTTGTGAAATTATAGCATTACCAGACCATTGCAACAATCTGGGCAAGATACAAGCAGCACTAGCCAAATGCATAAACACCTCCCAGTGCAAATTTGCCTTTCAAAACAAATTGTGCAACTAACATCATCCACTCATGCCTATTTTAAAATGCTTTTTTCTGTGCCCTCCCCCCTCAGTACACAATGTTATTCAAATTCTATATTTATTAATCTAAACATAGTTCAAAATTCAGTTTTCCTTACCTTTTTCACTCTGCCAATGCTTCGTTTCCAAAGTTGCTTTCTCCCGGCTCTAAACATTGTACTATTCAATATAAGCATCAAGCACTGTTTTTCAGGAACAAGCCCTAATCCATGGGGAAAGCTTCTACATTCATCATTTTGTACTCCCCCCAACCTTTTGTTTGCACTTGTTTCTTTCCTTTCAGTAGCAATGCCAAAATAACTCTGGAAAATATAGTAATGATATTAAAAAACCAGCACCTATTAACCTTATCTCTGTATTTAAAATTCAGTTCTAGTGTGCATACAAATTGCTAGAAAATTAAGTTGCACTACCACAGAAACAAGAGGTCTCTAGCCACCAGAATTTACTGCCTATAGATTAGCCTTGAAAGCTACTGCTACCAACCACAGTGTTGTTAAAGTGATACTGTTTACATACAAACACGGTTGGTTACAATTCATCATATTCAAGGGCACCATAAGTATTTGCAGAATTTACAACTGCTTCCCTGATTTGTGCTTAGCCTTCTGAAGCAATCCTTGTGTCAACAGGCATCTTTGTTTCCTTGTCACAGGTGACTGTTTAAATATACAGCAACAGTCAAGCAACT